CAAATAAATTGTACTCACCTCATTCAAACTCAATTGGGTATTTTGACATTTTCCATTAATTGTAACAATATAATAAAGTTCAAATGTTGGTTTACATGTGTGTTATTTATATTTGATCTGTAATATGACAAACAATCAGATGGACTGCAAGTTGCCAAGTTCATGTGCTGAAATAGAATCTCACAATATACCTGTTATTTTATCTTTTTTTGTGTATGCATGTAAGATAAAATATATTAAGTACATGTATTCACAAAAATTCAAGCCTACTTATAAGCAATATACTTATTAGGAATTGGGTAGTTTTCACATAAATATTTGCATAATGTACGCAGATACGGTAGCTTATCTGTACCTCTGCAGAATACTGCCTGATTATAAACATATAGGTCATCATTTTCAGCCGTTACTCTGTACAGCATTCTGTGTGTATCATTATGAAATTTGATCTGTAGGAAATGTGATTTTCAGGGTAAATGATATGTTTGGGGCATATTTTTATAGCTTATCCAGCTGCCACTGTTGACTATCATATACCTGTTTTTTAATGTGTATGCATTTTCTAAATCTACAATGCCCATAAAACTGCAACTTTGCATTCTATTCACTTTAAAAAAACTGCTCACAGGATTTTGATCCAATGTTTAACATCGCCACAGTGGAGCCACTTAGTGACTTAATTGTCTTTTTTGAGAATGTGTTGAAATTCCACATAGTTGTTGTTAGTATCGAGGCCCAGCATATGTGTTCCATTTCTTGTGAAGTTAGACATTTTGCCACTGATCACTGATCCAACCTACATTTCAAATAGTCAGTCACCAAAGAGAAAACAATCAATAAAAAGTCTTAAGTACTAATAGATGTATAATTGGAAAAATAAATTTTCTACCCCAGTGCACACTCTTTTTCGTCAAATTAAATGCATACATTGGGGAAAAATAGGCTAAACATCAATAAACAATGGTTTGAACAACATAAGGATAAATAGTCAGTAACATGATCCTTGTGAGTGGCATTATACCACAGGGGCGGTGGGGTAGCCTTGTGGTTAAAGTGTTTGCTCGTCACGCCGAAGACCGGGCTTCGATTCCCCACATAGGTGCAATGTTAGAAGCCCATTTCTGGTGTCCCCCGCCGTGATATTGCTGGGACATTGCTGAAAGCGGCATAAAATCATACTCAGTCAGTCAGTGCATTATCCTACACCTTTTGACAAATGATTAAGTAGCAAAATAAACTGAAGCCAACCCAAACAGAAGGCATTGGTTTGGGCCATTTTGACTAACTGTGTCAGTCATGCCTTTTTCACTGGTCAGAGTGAAAACAGCTTGTGCCTTGGACATCAAAGCAAGGTCTAGAGATCTACAGCATGTCTCAGTGGGTAACGTTTCGGGTGATGTACTACTTAAATCCCATGTGACCCTATGACCCCCTGTAACTCCGACAGTGACCTTTTGTTGAAAGCCTTATACACTTTAACCATGCTCTGAAATATCATATCTTTTCATTCTTGTAGACTGATCAAGCTAACGTTTGTCATATCATGTTCCTTTTTATGAAGAATCTTGTTCATAACAACATGATTTTAGTAAAGGTTGTTTTGTTAAAATATGTAAAAAATTCAATTTTTCAAAAAGTTAAAAATTAGATTTGTAAGAACCACAGAGCAGAGAATGTTTTGACATTGTGTGAATGGTAATGACTAAGAGAAAATCCAGCATTGTGCAGAGCAGAGCAGAGCAGAGCAGAGCTTGTTATGTATATGATGGCAATGGCGCCAAATACTATGTATGGTCACACAGTTTAAGAACAGGTGGTAAAAGTGATTTTGTACAAAATGGCCTGTTCACAGAGCAGTGAATGGGTACCAACGGGACAAGTCATATGACTATTAACCTTCCAGCACATCACAGGCATCTTGGGTTATCCAGGTAATAATGTCCATTATGTTTTATGCCCTTAGAGTATGTCCATGCAGTAAGGAGTCATTATTATTATTATTACAAGTAAATAATACAGCAACTGCATGAGACATAACAAAAACTTTGTTAAATTCATTAGTTTGTTATATGCGTGTTTGTTATAAATATATTTTACTGTACAGGTCTATATCATGAACATAAATTGGTATGAGCCAGGCATATTGAAAGCAAATTGTTTTCATCATGAAATCCTTCACAACAGAAATTTGCGCAAGATTTCTATTCATAGAACAATTCAAATTTAAGGGACTTGGAAAGAGAAAATGAAATTGTTACAGTATGTCAATTTGTACGTCAAGCTGCATTGTACAGGCCAGTGTACCACACAGTACATCAATATGTCAAACTGTACAATGTCACTGTACGTCAGTCTGCCAAACTGTTCATATTCCCTTCAAATACACAGAGGGGCGTTGCCCCTAACACAGATATGCCACCCCACACGTTAAATTTCGGTCTGTATTTTGGGCACTGATACAAAGGTTTTTCAGTTTGTTTGGTCCAGAATTTCAGTGTATTACGAAACAGCCACTCAGAACTTTCATCTGAGAAAATCACATTGTCCCAGTTAAAATTTCTATGCTGTAAGCACCAGTTCAACCTTCGTTCCTTTTGTTCAGGATTCATGATCGGTGATGGAATTCCTAGACTTTTCTGCCAACCCATTGCATGCAGCTCAGTTCTAATTGTCTCCTTGCCATCCATACTGAGGATCACTGAAAATGGCATCTGCTAGCAAGTAAACAAAGAGGGATAACTCTTCACAAACTAATGAAAAAGGATTAACGGAGTTGTCTCTCTTGAATTAAACCAAGCACTTGAAAGGTGGTCAAGGTTGTTTATACTAGAAATCCAATTAAACATTGTCCTAAAACTCTCAATAATTTCTGGTCATACTATACATCAATCTTCCACACTGTACAATGTCAATCTTCGACAATGTACAATGTCAATCTGCCACACTGTACATCAATCTGCCACACTGTACAATGTCAATCTGCCACACTGTACAGGCCAATCTGCCACATTGTACAATGTCAATCTACCACACTGTACAATGTCAATCTGCCACACTGTACATCATCAATCTGCCACACTGTACAATGTCAATCTGCCACTGTACAGGCCAATCTGCCACATTGTACAATGTCAATCTGCCACACTGTACATCATCAATCTGCCACACTGTACAAGTCCAATTTGCCACACTGTACATCAATCTGTCACATTGTACATCAAACTGCCACACTGTACAATGTCAATCTGCCACACTGTACATCAATCTCCCACACTGTACATGTCAATCAGCCACACTGTACATCAATCTTCCACACTGTACAATGTCAATCTGCCACACTGTACAATGTCAATCTGCCACACTGTACATCAATCTTCCACACTGTATGTCAATCTGCCACAATGTACATGTCAATCTGCCACAATGTACATCAATCTTCCACAATGTACAATGTCAATCTGCCACACTGTACAGTGTCAATCTGCCACACTGTACATCAATCTTCCACACTGTTCAGTGTCAATCTTCCACACAGTACAATGTCAATCTACCACACTGTACATGTCAATCTGCCACACTGTACATGTCAATCTGCCACAATGTAAATGTCAATCTGCCACACTGTACAATGTCAATCTGCCACACTGTACAATGTCAATCTGCCACACTGTACAATGTCAATCTGCCACTGTTAATCTGCCACACTGTACAATGTCAATCTGCCACACTGTACATGTCAATCTGCCACACTGTACATGTCAATCTGCCACACTGTACACTGTACATGTCAATCTTCCAAACTGTATGTCAATCTGCCACACAGTACAATGTCGATCTGTCACACTGTATGTCAATCTTCCACAGTGTACAATGTCAATCTTCCACACTGTATATGTCAATCTGCCACACTGTACATGTCAATCTGCCACACTGTACATGTCAATCTGCCACACTGTACAATGTCAATCTGCCACACTGTACAATGTCAATCTGCCACACTGTACAATGTCAATCTGCCACACTGTACATGTCAATCTGTACAATGTCAATCTGCCACACTGTACAATGTCAATCTGCCACACTGTACAATGTCAATCTGTTACACTGTATGTCAATCTGCCACACTGTACATGTCAATCTGCCACACTGTATAGGCCAGTCAGCCACACTGTACATGTCAATCTGCCACACTGTACAATGTCAATCTGCCACACTGTACAATGTCAATCTGCCACACTGTATGTCAATCTGCCACACTGTACATGTCAATCTGCCACACTGTACTGTACATGTCAATCTGCCACACTGTATGTCAATCTGCCACACTGTACAATGTCAATCAATCTGCCACACTGTACATATGTCAATCTGCCACACTGTCAGCCACACTGTACATCAATCTGCCACACTGTACAATGTCAATCTGCCACACTGTACAATGTCAATCTGCCACACTGTACAATGTCAATCTGCCACACTGTACAATGTCAATCTGCCACACTGTACAATGTCAATCTGCCACACTGTACATGTCAATCTGCCACACTGTACAATGTCAATCTGTTACACTGTACATGTCAATCTGCCACACTGTATAGGCCAGTCAGCCACACTGTACAATGCCACAGCAGATTTTGTTGAACACTGGACAAAAATTACTTTTCCAATTCGGCTTCTATTGTTGCCATTGGACTCTTGCTTGACCATGGTATAAGAATCTATACCAATAATAAAGACTGACTGAGTTTTGTTTTACACCGCTTTAGCAATATTCCAGCAATATCACGGCGGGGGACACCAGAAATGGGCTTCACACATTGTGCCCATGTGGGGAATCAAACCCAATAATAAAGCTCTTTTGCGTGCAATATTCCAGCAATAGCGCAACGCCAGAAATGGGCTTACCACTAGGCTACCCCACCACCCCACCAATAATAAAGAAGTTGTTGTTGTTTTTATCACTACTGTGGCTATGTTCATATTTATCACAGTTCCAGTAGAAACATCCGTGGTCAATGAACCATTACGACTAAGCCTCTCTTATTTGGGAACATTCCAAATGAATGTATGACTTTCTTGAAACCTTTTTAGTGTACATATATCCATCATCAAGTTTTTGACCACCTGCTATTTTCAATAATTTTCATCTTGTAATGCTATGTAAATCTGTAAACACTGAAGTTAATGCTAAAGAGATCAACCGTTATATACTTCATCCAGCCAGGTGAGAGAGTAGTAAGATGAGTATCAATTGTAATTAGAAAAGGAAATACAAAGCAGCAGAGAAACTTTGGTGAAGTGCAATTAATGTTTGATCTCTTTTAAACTATACTAAACTAAAACTTTTAACAGGTATAAAAAGAAATTACTCTGATTTGAGAACGGCTGTTACCCTGTAACAACAATGTCATGCTGCATGAAGTACTCAAGTAGTCCTCTGCTCAAAACCAACAATCCTTAGCTGGGTTTGAGAAGGATACTTCAAAGTATCAATATCCCCCGCAATGGCAAAGTACTCTTATGAATATGTCTACTAGTTATGATTATGTCAAATGTTTTGGTGTGTACATGGCAAAGTGGAAAGAGAGTATTGAAAGGTTTTTAAGTTCTGCTCCACAAAGAAGCACTACCACCAAATTCAGTCGAAGCGAAACTTGTTGCCATGGAAAGACAAAAAATATTTTATTCAGAATTCCAAAAATACTAAAAGGCACCAGTACACCACCAGATCTATCTATGCGTTGGTGAAGAAATACTGAACGGTTTTAAAGTTCTGCTCCGGAAAAGACGTAAGTGCACGGACGGATGCACCCATGGACCAAGCACATTTTAATACCCCCCACCCACCCCAAACCCATTGCAGGGGATAAAAAAGATTTGTTTATCCGAGATATTCAAGGAAATATTCAAGGCATGTTCATAAAATGGCAAGATGTTTTGAAGGCTGAATATATCCCGTGTCAAGAATCTGCTAATATAACAGAAAGTGACTTATGGTCCTTGGTGCTGTTGCACAAAGCCATGATAGCTCTTACGTGGCCATAACTCCCATACCTCAAAATAAGTGTGCGAGTATGGTTTTATGCAGCTTTAAGCAATATTCCAGCAATATCACGGCTGGGGAACACCAGAAATGGGCTTCACATGTTGTACCCATGTGAGGAATTGAACCTGGGTCTTCAGCGTGACAAGCGGATGCTTTAACCATAAGGCTACCCCACCGCTAGGGGTGGGTATTGCAGATGATTTTCATATTGCGATGTATTGTGACGCGAAAGCATGTATTGCGATATGTATTGCAATATATTGCATGAAGTATTTTTAAACAAAAAACTACTTATAATCGAGGTAATGCTTGATTTATAGAGCAAATACACAGCAAAATCACTATGCTTCATTAAGCTTTAATAACAACTTTTATTCATGATTAAAAATAAAAATGTGAATATTTGGCACAAATGAAAACAGGAAATATCCGAAGATTTCCGAGTGTTACAAAGTTTTCCGAATGCAAGTCAAAATACCGGTTTTCGATCATGTCTGAACCGGTAAACCAGTTATATTGTGCAGCCCTACCCACCGCCCCCTTAAAATACGACTTATGGCAGTCGTAGCCCTAAGATTGCTTGAACAATGGTGCCTGATCATTATCATATAGCTTCATTTCTCCACGAATTGCAGCTTATGAGATTCTTGAAATCTATATCTTAATTGTTACTTAAATGCACCATCAAATGGGTGCTATTCTTTTGTGAAGTGGACATTTTTGTTGTGAGAATAATCACAATCCATGTCAGCTGCTCAATGGCGTTTGTCAGGTTGACAACTGAAACCTATATTTTACACCATTCTTGAAATGTAGAAGAAAAATAATATTACATTTAACCGCTTTCTAAATGGCATTGTGTATTCCTGTCTTGTATGATTCATGTCGGTAAGGCTATAAGAATGATAGTCAGTGATTCTTCATTTAGAATTACACTTAAGTAGATTCTTGTACTTTTGTTGGGTTGAGTCCTATCCGGGATTCGAACCCACACCCTGAGAGTCAGGCACCTAATCACCAGTACACAAAGTCAGCCGCCTAACCCACTCAGGCACCAAGTGAAATTATATGGATAATTCACAAAGAGTTATTGGAACAAGTGAAAACACAGGATGTTATTATATATATTTATTACATTATATACATCAAGCATATATACAGTGTATGTCAGCTTAGATACATTGATACTGATGTCTATGGCAAATGATACAGTGTGATTTACACAAACACGCTAGCTGGCCACCTACTCCTCTTCAAAGAAAGCATGCATTAGGAAACACGATACGAACCCACCTCAAATTATGTAGGACCACACGTTTGACACTGCACCAGCATAACTTCAGCAAGGAGATAATAATTGCACATAGCCTAGCTCATTAAAAAAATAAATAAAAAGGAATTGATATTAAAATTGTTCTAAATGCCTATGAGCAATTACTATCCTGCTCCTCATTGTCTTGTTATTCATACAGAAGGTAGGAAGCTGACTGTCCTTCTGTTTGTTTAAACATGAGATTGGACTGTCAGTTTCTCAGCAAATATAACAAATGCCCTTGTTTCAAAACATCATGACATCAGATAAGATATTTTTCTTAACATCAACCTTCATGATTACACTATTTGCAAGTACTTAAAGTCGACAGTCTTTCCAATTACATGGCAAGATTCCTGGTAGTGTGTTTGAGTGCAAATAGTTCTCCGACAGGTCGGTGTGAAGGACAGATATGAGTGAAACTGACATGAAATGACATGGCATAGTGATGTGCTATGAACATGTTGAATGTATTTAGGTGTAGGCATGTTTGGTGCATGTATTTCATGTGTGAAGTAGATACTGATAATGAACACAAGTGGTGGAATGAAACCTAATTGTTCAGTGTTTGACCTGAGCAGAAATATGTACAAGCTAAAATGACAGCAAATGCATTTGTAGTTATGGTATTATTTTCATTAAGCATTCAAGCACCTGTCACCATAACAAAATAACAATGGAAAAAGAAAGTAACAGATTCCTGTGTCCACTCTTTGACAAATCCAAGGTTATGTGCAAAATGCCAACAAAATTTAACCATTTTGTATTTTATTTGTCACCGCACAAATAAAATTAACAACATTTATCCAGACTCTAAGTGATGAAAGACAGATAAGAATAAGACAGCCTGTGAAATTGACATGATGAAATAGAAATCTCTCGTCAACACTCGCACAACCATGCGCACCCATAATTTACAATGCAGCTTGAACACAAGCTGTTGAACATGTTAAAAATATAGTCATTTGTCTAGCGTAAAATACAAGTCGAATATGATCAAGCATCGTCTACGTCTACTCAGTGTAGCTTGGCTGGGCTGTGGGGCGCGGGTGGGAAGATGCTGCTACTTCGACAGTACGGACGAGATGTGGGATTGAGACCGACCTGGAACAACAAATGCAAATGTTAGTATTATGAAAGGAATATCATACAATCAGGGCTAGCAGTTTCTTGGTATTTATCTTGAATTACAAATGAGTCGGAAATTAAACATAATTTAACAGTTTTAGAATGGGCCACCATGACAATGGAACTGACATTTGGAATTACAAAGAATTCCTACTGAATGGCATCAGGGATTAATTTTTATGATTGTCAGAACATGTGATTTTTCTGGTATACAAAGAAGTAACAGTTGGCCTTACTTTTTAAGTATGAATTCAAATACTTTAATTTTACAAAAATCATAACTATAATGTCTGTAAAAATATATAGCTACAAAAATTACAATTTTAGCCTTCGGCCTCTCATAAAGAAAAACAAATAAAATGGCTGTCGTTAAAACTGGTAGGTGTTAAGCATGCTGTGATGCCAACATGTCTCTGGCAACGTCCATGCAACAAGGGGATGTAACAAACCAAGTGTTTGATAGTTATTATAACTCCTGAGTCTTTACATCAAAGCCATAACAGGTTCATTCACAATACAGCAAATAAATACCACTATTGATTGCCCCTGCTATACATAAGGTCCAGATCCCAGAGCCAACCATGCTTGATATTTAAGAGCTAAGATCTACAAAGCCTGTTGAATGAAACTACTAGCTGTAGCATTAGAACATTTTCTAATTATGAGAGAGAAAACCTAATGTCTTTTTGGGGCTGGTAATGGAATTATTTTAAAAATTAACTGATACCGAAATCAAAAATTTAAAATAAATAAATAAATAAATAAACAAACAAACAAGTGTTAAACAAATAAATATAGTACAGGCATGCAAAACAGGTTTAGTGCATGTTAATTTTCATTTTTCAGTCAAGAAAGTTTTTCAGCTTCTATCCAATATTTGTTAGCATATTTCTGTCCTTTTGGGCACAGTACATTAGTCTGGAATCAATGATGAAACATAAAGCAAATAGCAATGTGCAGGGCTGTCAATAACAAGGGAAGGGTGCCATCTTACCCATGCTACTCAGACTGCCTCTCTGCAATGTCAAAATAGGGGGTTACATTTCATGCTGATTTCACACACGGTGCTATGTGTACTAAGGTCTCGGAATAAATATATCGAGAAAATCAACCTCTGACATTTCACATCTATTTCATTTGATTCCCTTTTTAAGGTGCCACCTGCGATGCCAATTTCAGTTAGCAAGTGTAGCATTCCAGTGAAATCAATTGGTATCAAGTTTGGTGAATCTAAGATTGATGTGAAGCATCTGATGTTGATTTATCTCACTATTAGCAGAGAGATGTCAGTTAAACAAAAATTGAATCTCAGAGCGTCAGTTCCCAATACTAACTATCACATTTCAAAATATGCAGTTGTTTGGCAATGATACTTCAACATGCAGAATATATTATTGTTATGAAATTAGCAAAACTATCAAGGAAGCATGGACATTCTAAGCAAAGGGTCAGCTAATGATGCCCAACAAGCAAGGTTCAAACAGTCAATCCCAGGACCACATTAGTAACTCAGATAAACATGTACTCAACGCACCATGTAACATATCATCTCATGTGCTGATTTGATAACCAACATTCATACCAAGATTGGGAAACAAAATTCAACCCCAACATTAAAATTTCCAGGAACTTTACTGTCTACTTAAAATAAGTTTACAAATTCATTAAATGCAGGACGAAAGCCATCAGCAACATTAGACATGCCAAGCAACTGGTGTGCATCTACTGATATCTTTTCTATCGTTTTCAATAGATTGAAGTGCCTACCTTTTCAAATACACACATAAATTTGATGTTGTAAACACCAGACACTTTCATGTACTTAAACCTGTTACAAATCTTTGAAACCTTTCATTGGTATAAAATTTGTGGGGGAAAACAAAGAACCACCAGAATCAATTCAATTCAAAGTACTAGACTTATGGTGTGCTTCATAGCCTGCAGTTCTAATCAGGAAAGTTGCTAATGCTTAATGACAGGGATGTTATGACACAGCTCAATCAAACACAATACAATGCAAACTAAAGCAAACTGACATTGATGATATTTTACAATTCCTCTCTATCTTGTTGTCATTAAAGCCATATTTGAAGATGTGTTCTAAATGTAAACACTGTTATCACAAGAAACTGGGCCCAGGTCCACAAAGCGATAGCATCACTATTCTAGTATATGTTAAAGTATGGGAGACAGTCAGCTTACAGCTATGACAGAACTGGGCCAAGTATAGTTAACTTGCCATATCATTACATCTTATTGAAATATGATCAGTTTATAAACGGTGGGGGAATATTTTGATACAGTGATGGATAATCATGCAAAACCATGCTTAAGTATTATCTGCCTCTCACGGAAGTGTGAATGTTCAACCGGTCACTTCACTGATGACTTTAGGAACTCCCTTCCCCTGAATGGACAAAATTGCACATAAAACTGACATTCCCAATACGTAGATGATACATTTGGTACTTGCTACATTATGAACACTGTGACACTTTCTTGACTGAATGAAATTTAACACTGATGAATGTTAGTTTAGAAAACATGGCTTATTAACATCATTAAAACAGACACTACAAATTGTGAAATGAAGACATGCAGTTAGTTCAATGTTGGATTTGTCGGGGAAAGCACATAAAAAGATTTCTGTTGATATTTTAAAAGCAAAACAAAAGCTATGATAACAAAAAAGCAACAAAAAGATGAACATTAAATATCAGAAAGCCAAAAGCAATGACTTTGTAATTTAGTAAATCTGGTAAGTACGGATATTAAGATGTAGATGAGGCAGGATACAATATAATTAAAACTATATATAAATAATATAAAAAGAAAATAAATATGAAAAACATAAATATAAAAAAATATTAATAGAAAAAAAAAAAAAATATATAATGAAAATAAAATACCAATATAAGGATGTGTTTTATATGAACTTTCCATTCCAAATCTCCTAGCTCGTCTACAGTGTTTCAAGTCGGGATGCATTCCTTGGTTAGTTCAACCTGGGGGTGATTTGGAAAACACGATTCAATGTGTAGTTAACCAGTTTAACGTGGAACATGAAGTGACTCAAGAGATACACACAGCAAAATCTTGGTACGATCCCGTTGACGCGAGACTTGCGTTGCTGCTGCCACACCCACCATCCTTGCTGCTTACCGTGGTCTGGCTAAACATGGAATCGTTGTCGGTGGGGCCTGTATTGAGCTCCGATAGCACTTTTCGAGCAAGGCGCAGTGAGCGCCGCTTTTGTGACCTGTTGTTAGGTGTCTGAAACGTGGGAGACAAATTAGTATAACATCTAAAATATCTTGGTAACTACAGGGAATTCATGTTGTAAAATACTTTTACCAGTGACATACTATATCTTATATTCCATATATGTACCAAACATCAAGTGATAGTACTGAGTACAGTTGTTTCCATTTGAAACATTTTTGTTTGCTGTTTAAATCAAACTCAGCAGTATCCCAGCCATATGACAACAGCATGTTAACAACCTTTTTGAGTTGCCGCACTAAGGAAGGATGACAATATACAGATGAACAACTTCCTTATTACAGTAACAGTGGCGTTTCTGAGTAGGTTCTAACACTGTCACTTGTTTGATAATGGTGTTAGAACCTACACCGAAACGTTGATCTCATTGTAATAAAGAAGTTGTTTATCCATATACAGTTATCCTTCCTTAGCATGTCAACAATCCTGTCTGGACAAGACAACTTAGTGATATCTTGAGCAACAACCCACAATGTTTGTTTACCATCCAGCAAATTACTGAGGCTGACTATCCAATCTATTTAGTCTTCCCCTGCAATCAGCAGGTCCATGATCTTACATAGTTACATTATTTTCAAAGATATGGATAATAGCAATGGTTACGAGTACCTCCACCATGAGCAAAGAAAGCTAACATAACAAAATGCAATTCTTAACCAAAACTGTAATCAGCATACACTGATAGTAATCATGAGCAATCCATATCTTGCCCACAACCAGCAGGCTTTAAAGAGATGTGGTTCAGAAAAAGCAATCACAGTGTTACAATTAGAGTCACAAGTCCTATCATTTAACACAGACTTGTCACAGTTGTGGCACAAGGTGAAGGACAGCAACATCACATAACATTACGAGTTGAATCTATGCTAAACTATGTCGTTTTATAAAATGACCTACTGGGTGTGATTTACAAACATCCAAATGAATTATTCACTTCTATTTTCATTCATGTGTGACAAGGTATGGTATATTTGCATAAAAGAAAGTGGACTTTTTTCTGACCTGTCATCTTAACAAATATGACAGATACAGGCCATGGTTAGAAATTAACATAGGTTACTGGTCCCAAACTAGTGCAATCTTGGAATGACAAGTGACATATCCTTGTGGACTCCCAATTTTACTGCTTGAGAGATAGATCTATTTGTGGACTTGTGAAAATATAAATAAACTTCCAACCCTGCAAGCTCTGTTATATATTAAAACATCTAGGCCATAGTAATACAGTGTACCTGTCCCTCATGGTGCTGTGGCATATGATTGACATACCTTACTGGCGGACATTGGCGCACGTCGGTATGGAGATGCAAACACACTAGTATGTTGTATTCTGCTTACTGAGGCGGGGGTTTTGTTTGTGTCATTCAACTGTTAGAAACATGCAAATAGCAACAGTGAGAAGTGATGATGCGTACTTGACATACACACTTGACTGACAGGTGTACATTGCAGGTGTGGATTTCATTGTCACCAAGGAAACAGTCGATGTAAATCAAACATGAAACATCAAAGCCTTTCAGCTGTTTCAAGATTTATGTTGGTCTTAGTTATTGTACCAGTTGAAATTACCTAAAAATAAAGGGGTGATGAAATCAACAACTTGTGTCAGTCAAATGTGTATGAAATGTGCGATGAACATGAAAAGGTGACTTGGGATTGGAAAAGATGCAAGACCAATTTTCTAAAACAATTCTGATTCAGAAAGCATGGCAAGGTACAGGATATTGGAAGGCTGAAATGAACAAACTTACAGCTTTTGAAGTTGAGCATATCCCAGGAAAAACAATTACCTTTTGGGAATCGTTAAAAGGGGAATTTATATACATTCCCGGTTATGAGGGGCAGTCGGACTGAATATTGTTTTCATATTTAAAAGAAATGACCATGTAGGATACAACCTTTGGTGGTGTATTGCGATGAAACATGCTATGAACAGTGATATAAGCCAAAGCAATAGTAAGCTAGACATTCCCCCAGCACAATGCTTTCTAAGACAGAAACTGGAAATGGGATAACTTCCCACAAACCATTTACCTTACAACTTAACATTGGCGTGAATTGATATCTGACTGTCAGTCTGTCACAAATGACAAATATCAATACTTTAGATAGAAGATTATACACCAACATAATATAATCACATTGTTTGAAATGCTTTTATTATTACAAATCAGATGAATCAATAAAACCAACAAGGCATGAACAGTAATGCTTATGGTCAAAGGAGTAACTCAATTTTCCCACCTTACCAGATATGTTGATGGCAATTCAAATTTACAGCATTTTGACGGTGGTTGTAAAAACTCTAAATATATCCGGAGAATAAAATACAATAAAATAATGGCTACAGAAGTGTTGTAAAGAATGCATGGCAGGGAAATACGTATTAAATAATATTTCAAGAGAGTAGTTATTAAATCTTCAGATTCACAGTATATTAATTATTTAACCCCATTGGCGCTTGATAAATGTTTTTCTTCAAGTGAAATTCTTTTGAAACATAAATTTTAATGCCTCATCATATGTATATCCCTATTTGATGACCACTTGCATATATCGATACATGTATTTAAATTGCATAATCAAATTTAGGATTTATGGATGAGAAAGAAACTTGATTTTGCATCGCTAACTTTGTATCTACTTGTAGATTACTTTAATGATAAACTAAGACAAAATCACTCCATGACCTAAAAAAGAGATATCAGTATGTCGAGCTCTGCAATGGGCATGACAGATCTGTATGGGCAACGGCATATGCCAAGGGAAACCACTCCCCATCTCATGCTTAAATAAACTTCCAACCCTGCAAGCTCTGTTATATATTAAAACATCTAGGCCATAGTAATACAGTGTACCTGTCCCTCATGGTGCTGTGGCATATGATTGACATACCTTACTGGCGGACATTGGCGCACGTCGGTATGGAGATGCAAACACACTAGTATGTTGTATTCTGCTTACTGAGGCGGGGGTTTTGTTTGTGTCATTCAACTGTTAGAAACATGCAAATAGCAACAGTGAGAAGTGATGATGCGATTTTGACATACACACTTGACTGACAGGTGTACATTGCAGGTGTGGATTTCATTGTCACCAAGGAAACAGTCGATGTAAATCAAACATGAAACATCAAAGCCTTTCAGCTGTTTCAAGATTTATGTTGGTCTTAGTTATTGTACCAGTTGAAATTACCTAAAAATAAAGGGGGTGATGAAATCAACAACTTGTGTCAGTCAAATGTGTATGAAATGTGCGATGAACATGAAAAAGGTGACTTGGGATTGAAAAGATGCAAGACCAATTTTCTAAAACAATTCTGATTCAGAAAGCATGGCAAGGTACAGGATATTGGAAGGCTGAAATGAACAAACTTACAGCTTTGAAGTTGAGCATATCCCAGGAAAAACAATTACCTTTTGGGAATCGTTAAAAGGGGAATTTATATACATTCCCGGTTATGAGGGGCAGTCGGACTGAATATTGTTTTCATATTTAAAAGAAATGACCATGTAGGATACAACCTTTGGTGGTGTATTGCGATGAAACATGCTATGAACAGTGATATAAGCCAAAGCAATAGTAAGCTAGACATTCCCCCAGCACAATGCTTTCTAAGACAGAAACTGGAAATGGGATAACTTCCCACAAACCATTTACCTTACAACGAACATTGACGTGAATTGATATCTGACTGTCAGTCTGTCACAAATGACAAATATCAATACTTTAGATAGAAGATTATACACCAACATAATATAATCACATTGTTTGAAATGCTTTTATTATTACAAATCAGATGAATCAATAAAACCAACAAGGCATGAACAGTAATGCTTATGGTCAAAGGGGAGTAACTCAATTTTCCCACCTTACCAGATATGTTGATGGCAATTCAAATTTACAGCATTTTGACAATTAGTTTGAAATTTCACAGGAAAATCCATATATACACAGTTAATGCGTAAGCATAATCCTGAGTTACTTACCTTTCTGACTTTGTTAGGTGTTTTCTGTGGAGTAGTGCCACCAAATGCCCTCTTGGAAGGTGTTGCTGGTTTTGAACCAAAGATCATCTCTTCCTGAATTTGTTTGGCTTTGGCTTTTTGCTGCAAACAAATTAATACAAGATTCATTATGAAATTAATAATTACTTCAAATTTCTTCTAATATTTCGCACTGACAAAATGTAGGTGAAGTTATTTCTTTTGAGTCTCTTAGCCCATACATATATTCAGTAGATCTCTATTAGTACATTAACTAGTATAAACTGATATAACTAGATTGGAGGAAACTTTACTAGACAAGTGGTTTAAGACACACTGAGTGAGGTTCCACGTCGCTTTAGCAATATCAAGGTTGGGACACAAGACATTATCTTCACAGATTGTTACCCATGTGGGGAGTTGATCCTGTGGCCTTCGGTGTCACTGTGACAAGTGAAAGCATCAACCAAGAGGCTACCTCACCATCTATGTACATGTAAGGTGAAGAAAAGGGAATGAACAGACTCGTTTAACTCTTGATACTCATCTGTCATTCAGGTGACAATGGCTGTCAAACATTTCACAATCTGGTCAGTGCAGGATACACGAAGGAATTTAACAATTTCAGACGTCAATCAGGATGCAACTCTACAGAAGAGTCATGAATTTTCCAGAGTGATCTTTTTGGACCACACATTTTGACTGACTTTAAGTTCATCTAATGTGTCAATGGCAACAATCAAAGCTGGCCTACCCTCTGCTCCTTCTCGCGGATCTTCTGTTCATTGTATGCCTCTCTCTGGCGTATGATGTACACATCGTACTTGACCCCCTCTACCAGGAACGGTCGGTTGTTCTCCTTCTCCCAGTTCCGCACAGCATCCCGCACATCGTCCTCCACCTGCAACCCATCATCATGGACTGATGTCACCAAACACAGGTCTACAGAACATCAGGATGTAACATACAAAGTAGGAATAACAAACAGTACAGATAAGACTAGTCAGGAGAGTAAGTGAGTGAATTTAGTTTTATGCCGCTCATAGCAATATTCCAGCAATGGCAGGGAACACCAGAAATAGGCTTCACACATTTTACCCATGTGGGGAATAGAACCCGGGTCTTGGCGACTAGTCAGGAGAGAAAATGAAACATGAAATAACCCAAATGCTAAAAGTCAAAAGTTTCACTTAACCATGGCCGCCAACCATGCACAAGTATTCCTGGGACCCTCATTTCAAAGTTCCAAAGTGAATTCAAGGACTTTTTCTTCACATACCTTTGGCAATTCTTTCATGAGTTTCTTGCGTTCTTTTTCCTCTTGTAGGAGACAATTGTGTCGTCTGTTCTTGTATCTGTTGGGATCATTAGCCTTTCTCTGTAAACAAAAGATTGACTGATGATATAGAACAGGAACCATAAAGGAACAAACACTGCTCTTGGAGAAATGGTTTATTGGTTAAATGAATTTTATTTTCTCATGAAACTAACGACAAAGAAATTAGTGGACTATGGTAATTAAATACATCTACTACAAATGATACATACTTCAAATTCTATCAGCTTTGCAAAGAGCTCCTCTCGTCGGGCAATCTGGTCTAAGAGACGGTGATACTTCTCGTAAAAAGCCTTGACCTTCTCCAACTCCCGCTCATGCACCTCCAGCAACTCTTCAGTATAGTGCTCTGTTGCCATAGATACAAGAGATTAATATAACAAATATTACATATTTGCACTAAATTGATCTTGTTATCTGAACAGGTTAATCTGAGTAGGGAAGGATAACAATATACAGAGGAATAACTTCTTTGAGAGTAACGTTTCAGTGTAGGTTTTTACACCGGTTTTGTTGCAGGTGATAATGGTGCTAGAACCAACACTGAAATGTAACTCTCACTATAATAGAGAACCTTCACTGAAACGCTGCACTGAATATAATAAAGAAGTTGTCCATCCATATACTGTTAATCTTTCTTACTGTTCCAACTTCTAAACGCCTCTCATGGGAAGGTGTGGGTGATGCATGCAATGTATTTCAAACAATAATTAGTGCTATGACTCATCTTAGTATGAGCAAGATTGACTGGCAATGTCAGCTTACAGCTAAGCCAGGTTGTTGAGTTAATCCAATCAGCTAACACTATCATGTGCTAACACAGATAGATAGTGCCTGCTTACCTTGTGGTCAGCACATCATTGTTTACATTGATGCTCATTGCTGGCAAGGTTGATTTTGTATGGAATTTCATCAAACTGCATTGACATACTTCATTGAAAGGGGTGGGACAGCTAACCTGCAAACATCTGACCCTAAAGGCGGACTCACACTCACTCAATATGACCAATTCGACCGAATGATTAATAAAATTCAGCAAATGGTACAAATCGGCCAAGTGAACCCTCATCTATTGTGCCATGATTGTGTAGAGCCTGTTCTGGTTTTCGGCAAGTTGGATGCGGCATATCTAATCAAATTGCGTTTTTGCGTTACATGGTAAATGTTTACAGCGCAAAACATGGCTTCATCTGCTTCAAAGAAACAACGCCTGAATTTTTCATGATTGTTTATCTTCAATTTCAAATTCTTTAATGAGATGGTTGTATGTTCCATGCATGTTACGATGGAAGAATCCAATCTTTCATCCAACAACTTCTCTTTTTCTTCGCTTTGGCATATTGTTTTCTTCACATAGCATCGCTCAGCAGATAACTGCAGCCGAGTCAGCTTAAGACATTTCGATACCAGGGAAACATATTATTGCGAGATATAATGAGATTGACACTAATATCAGCAACTCGATTGGTCGAGATACGTTACAACCACCGAACATGTTGTACAATGTACTGAAATCGACAGGCTGTTACGACGTGCCGACCCACACTTAAGGATCTCAAAGAGGATTCAAGGACTAAGGACATTGTCTGGGATAACCTAGCCTCACCCTGACACAACTGACACTAAGGAGCCAAGACCAACCGTGTTTCTTAGTCCTGGTATAGTACATCTTGCCACATGTACATCTGAATATATTGAAGGTACAGTTACTCTCATATTACAACTAAACTTCCGATACTCACCTTCTGAGAGTGGCTCAAACTCATCCATCTGTTTTTTACTGTAAAAACACTTTCCCCACCAGTGCAACAGTTCACCCGTCGGATTCCTTCAACAAATCTCTGAACATTCTGAAATTTCAGTTTTTCACACCGTGCCACCTCCTCTTTGAGGCTGTTTATGACATGAGGTTTAAAACTGTCTTTGTCCTTCTTGAAGACTTCCCGCTCACTTTCTTCCATCTCTAACCTGTCCCACAATGCATGGATCTGCAACCACAGGCTCAAAGTTGTCTGCTTCATGTCATCCTTCTTCTTTTCAAGCTGGAACACAACGTGTAGACAGCAATCAGTAAATCCATTTTGAATGCTTTGGTTATGGATTTTTTATCTAAGAAATATATGTGATGTTTTATAACTGCCACCAGCAATATTCAATCTTGGGTTAGAAAACCAGTGATACATAAAGAACAACTGCCATGTTGTTTGGGTATAATGACCTGCGGTTTAACTGGACACAGAGTCAGATCGCATTTGGTTAAACCCTAGATTTGTTTGTTTGTTGTTTAATTCCACACATAGCAATATTCCAGCTATACAACAGTGGACTGTAAATAATGGAATCTGGGCCAGACAATACAGTGATCAACAGCATGAGCATCAATGTACTCAACAGGGATACAATGACACATGTCACTGAAGGCCAATATTACCCGGGTCTTCATGGGTCCACACCTTAGAAGATTTGTGAGAGCAACAGATTGTTTTGGATATGTTCCTGTCTGGGTTCAATAATATCAAATCACAATGTACAACAAGAAGATAAGAATGGGTATATATAGATATGCTTCTACCTGTTGAAGAAAAGGAACTCACCTCATTGTGAAGGGCTTTCAGGGTCCTCATGTTTTGTGTGGACAGCTGGAAAGCATCATCATCTTCACACATGATATCTCTCTCGAATGATGTGTCAGGGCTTCGATCCATTTCATTGAACAGGTCAATGATAAGTTTCTTGGTCTGTACAAATTCTGTGTGACGAGTTTCCTATGAATACACAATGCCATTTAGAGAGTGGTCAAATGAACCCGGAACTCAACTCAACCCAACAAAAGTACTAGAATCTGTACTTTACTAAGAAAGTGTAATCCCAAATATAACATATGTGACATGTTTCCTATGGACAAAGATGAGAAACCTGAATGCTGACATGGTTAGGCCAAAAAATAATAATTTTTTGTTGTGGTTCCAATTACATCTCTTTAAAATTTAGGGTAGGTAGGTAGGAATTTTTTTAGATAGTATTTTTAAGAAGAAAAGTCCAAACTAATAACACATGTATCAATGTGTAATTGTTTATTCAATCAAGCTTGCAGTCATCATGTCGACTTTCTCTATCTGAATGACCGATATCTGTCTGTGCCGGGAAAAAACAATGGTATCTGAAAGCTTATTTTATTCAGTCCACTTAAAAAAAATAGGGTCGGTACCAGAATTCAAAGGTCGGTCGGGCAATCGGAACCACAACAGTCCAAGGGAAGCAACTGTTTCCTAAACATGTCTTGCTATGGCTTGTTTGGCTTCTGCATTAAAAGCTATACACCTACTCAGAGACTCTGGGATGCTAAGTTCAAAGTAAATGCCCCAAGCAAAGACAAGAGATAGGCAATTACTATAGTAGTACAAGTCAGGATAAGGTCAAACAAATGTTATATAACTCAAAGATCCTATTTTCTTATGCAAAATATTCTGACATTAAACAATAACTTAATAATTTAAAACCTATTTCTTGATATTTTTTTCATTTAACAAAATACATATCAGAATCTAACGTTTTAACCTTGGTCACAAGTCTGATTCATCCACAGCACTGATAACATTTCAATATTTAGTCCATGAAGAGAATTATGAATCATGTACTTGATACAAATAACAAAAATGTTCTAAAATATCATTATGAGAATGACATTTGAGACTTTAACTTTAAGCCATGGGTATGTTATACTTTTCCTAAACATGCTACAGAATTGATTCTAGTAGCCCAAATGTCTATTGCTATCCCTTTCAGTGATTCTTAGGGTTAATGTGTGGACTTCATCAGACAAGACTAATGCCCAAAGAAACTATTGTAGACTCTGGCTTTAGACTACAGCCTAAGTCACAGACTGGATTTGAGGTATTTTTTTACAAAAGATAGAAAAAGAATACACTTTTCCATGTGATGCTGATGTATTATATTGATGATAAATTCCTGAATTGTGAAAATTTTCAAAGAAAACACAACACCCGATTCCACAGCACTTACTTTTTCTGCTGAGAGGGATCCAATGTGTTTCTCCAAGTCCTTGAGTTGGTCCCTTGTTGGCACTGTGCCAGATGCAACATAGTAGGGTGTGGCACAAAGCATCTCACACAGATTTTGGTCTTTGTCCCGCAGAGTCTTCAGGCTCTTCATCCGGGATGACTTCTCCTGCTGCAGACCTTCCAGCTTGGCCCTCAACTCTTTCTCCTTCTGAAGCATGGTCAGCGACTCCTTGGGCTGGACAGAGATGGACAGTAGTCAACAACACACTTACAGTTGGAACAGTGCAGATTTCCATTACTGCTGCATTGAGGATTGGACTCACATTGCTAGCCTGAAGCTAAGCTGGACAAATAAATTCATCTTAGCAACCAAGGAGTGCTATCATAAATATTGGTGCATGTTTTCCAAGTGGTTCACCTTTATGCACATGCACAGTAGGCATGCATACTTTTTCCCCAGGACCTACTTAGTTTGGAGTTTTGCTTGCAGCGTTGCTTGTGTTTCATATTTGCATCTATGGCTGTGCCGATGCGTCCTGTGTCTACTAGTAGTAGGGGGAATGGGGGTACGAAATCACTTTCAACAAAAGCCTCTGCAAAGCCTTATTTCACGTGGGATAGGAATAGGAGGTCAGCCTGGTGAACGCTATTGGGTATGTTAATGCCGAACTTCCTTCTAGGCACGTAGCGTGGTGGCGGCAAATAGATCTGCCACATGGCTTGTTTTTCAAGCCACGCTTTGGCCTCCTCCAAACGCACTTCGGCTTGGACTTTTAATTGTTTTACCGTGGGAGGGACTTGCAGGCCTAGTAGCGCAACAAGGCTGGCTTCCCCATTCTAGAGTAACCGATCACCCCTCTGGCTCGCGATCTGCTTGAGCTTGCGAATAGTAGTCATAGTTGCGCATTACACACCTAAGAATATCAATCTCTAATCAGACCACCGTAAAGGTAAAAAAATTAGTAAATATCTAGATACACCTTATCGATTATTCCCTCGCCCCATCTCGAACATGCGCAGCATAGTAGGGTGTTTTGTATTACTTGCAATGAGTCATCAACAAGTATATCTATCTCCCCATGCACATCTACTAGCCCCCATCAAAGTAATTCCAAGTGTGTCCAGCCCATGGTACATCAAACCCTACTTTACCATGATTGTAAACGAGCACCCCTTATATAGTTCACTAACAATCATGGGTTTGAGGACACTGATATCTATACTTTCCCCACATCCATCTGCCAGCTTCTCAGGCAACCTTCGCTTGAAAGTGATTTGTTACCCCATTCCCCCTACTACTCTACTGAACCTGTGCGACTGACGCAAGGTCATGGCCTAGAATGAACACTGGTTTACCCACACCCTACTGTACAGAAACCAAACCATAAGAATTGTGAAAGTGATGCAAGGAATGGGGTACCTAACCTAATTAGATCATAGTCATGTTTGATCAAAAGGAGATCCAAGGGTCAAGGATAGAGTTGGCGGTATCTAAACACAAACAAAACTAACTCTGAGCACCAAAGAGACATGTGAGACCTCTGACTGACTGACTGAGTTTTGTTTTACCCCGCTTTTAGCAATATTCCAGCAACATCACGGTGGGTGAGACCTCTGAAGTGACAGCTATAACCAAAAGTCTGAGCCAAATTTTGTTTATCAAGTTGTGCCTGGTAAACCGCATTGTGGTCAAGATATCTCTCGAACAGAACATCACCAAACCAGTAAAATTTGGTGCAACTTACCACAAATGGGGTTACCACCAATTCCCCTGAGATTTTCTTGATATCATCACTGTATGTGACAATGTTTTGTTGTATCTGTGTGCGGAGTACTGATTCCTCTTCTACCATCTCCTCCAGTAGGTTGCACAGATGATGAGATACAGTCCCAGCACGCTCCTGCATCTGGGATTCACAGATGCCAATCTCATTCCAGATATGATACAATTTGTTGAGGGCGGCATCAAGACGGCTTGTTACCTCGCTCTTGATCTTGTCTTTGCTGAAACAGTATATAGCGCCGACTAATGAAAATAGGTAGACTATCATAGTCTGTGTCAGAAACTTTTGAAATACATGTGAGCTCAATCGGAAAGAATTCCGCACCTATCCCCCCTTAAATTTCATTCTAGTCAAATCATATCACCCGAATATATATTCCTCATCTGATAAGGATGAGTTTTAACATGTTTCTTTAATTGTATTTGAACATACTGAAAGACATATCCAACTTCTCAAACTGATTGCTGGGAGTTTGGGCGAGGCTGACATTCAGTTAGTGTACGCAGACATAAATATTCATTTGTATTCTTTCAATAATAGGTTTCACCAGAAAATAGGGGTGACTATTGAGGGGGAAACGACTATTGCGATAGCGATAGTATATTGCGACCAACTATTGCAATACTATTGCAATAGTTATTTTTTTCCTCCTTGAATTGTTTCATTTGAAGTCATTTTCCAAATGAATGTACAGTTTATATGAAATATAAACAAGCTAAAGTAGTTTCTGTCCCTTTTAATAATTGACAAGAAACCTGAAACCCAGATCAAGTAAACAGTCAAGTAACGGGCGGATAATAAATCAAAGCGAACGAATCTGGTACTTCCTGTATTTTACGCCGCACATTTATCAACGGAAGTCAGTTACTAAACTATCAATAGTAACCTATACCCAAATATATTGTAGTCTGCTCTAATGTTTTACATACATACACCTTGAGTATCGGCCCAAAGATGGATCTTAGCACAGGTGTAGTAGAATATTGTGATAACTTACTATATGGATTGTTATCAGCTGAGCTAGCTGTAACCTACAGAATACTTATACCATACTTATACTTGTGCCATGGGACGTGTCACACATTTGAAAAACATATGTTAATTTCAAAGTGAACGTTGTGACATTGATATATGTATGAAAATACATACACAAAAGCAAGGTAAGAATGGTTTGGTCTAGTGCAGATTTTAATTATGCTAACATTATTTATAACAACATTTAACGTGACAGTGACATGAGATTCGTTCAGCTCATGTGCTAAGCCATTCGAAAACGATTGATTTTGAAGCATTTTAGCTGTTTAGTAATGATCCTGATTGAAAGCTTACCACAGGCGATCACCCTTTTAATTCGACTTACCCTTTTTCATTTTCGTTTCGGGTAATGCCTTCTATCTTCGGTATAATATTAGAGATTACAAAGTCGAAGTCGACAGTTACCATTGACATTGGAACACACAAGTTCATATTAATTGTACAAGTCATCCACAACCACTAGACGAATGCATAATTGAAATAGGATGTTGCCAAAACTTATGAAAATTGATGATGTTACAGAACAAAAACAGACAATGAAAACGACCAGTTCCGATTGTTTCACTGTCGTGTCGGAAGCCAGGGAGGATACAAGAAATTTGAAAATAAAGTTTAGCATTAGCATTCAGTGAAAACAAGAATAATACACATATGCAGCGACATATTTGATAAACAAATACAAACCTTGATCCCGTCATTGTTTCGTTGATTGCACGCGTAGATTTATATAAAACAAACTTATTATCCTTACATCTTCTTGGCTGACAAGAGTCCCTTACCGCTTCGCGTTTTGAAATTTACCGATGTAAACTCGCTGTTGATTGGTCAGTTCGAATATTTCCCGTCATGCAAAATGATTTCATCTAAGGGACGCAACTCTTAAAACAACAGTGCCTGGCCCTCCCTGGCTTTGGATAAACATTTTACTAAAATTTAGCGCGTTTGTTTTCATCATGCTTTTACACATTACTCAGAAAGATTGATTCACAATATAGAAAACAGTTCGTTTCCAAGATGGAATTTCTCCATATAATTATTAAATGTAATTAATGTAATTAATTGTAGTATTTATAATAACCAGCTTTTGCCGACTTTGTGGTAGACTAGCTACTATCTGGTATGTGAACTTAAAATATTGTACAGGACATATTGTACAGGACATATAATAAAAAGGAGTCTGGAGACTCATCATTTTCAATATCTGCTATAATCTAGAATTGACAACTATTATAAATCTTTGCATGGGCTGTAATCTTTAATTATGTGTGTAAAGCGACTACATTAAAACAAAATGATATTTATCAATTACCACTTTAAGTTCAGAATTTGCAATTGTCAAGATGAAAGAGGTACTTTTACTCAAAGTTGAAAGCAAGTGTTAAGACTACTCACTGCAAACACAGATGCCGGTAAATGCAAGCTTTCTTTGCAATTAGTGTTTTCCAGGGGTATGCTTATTCCCAGATCTGTTAGTTTGTAATATATCTTCATTGTGTCTCAGAAAGAAAACAATAACATCCGTTTGTTTTTAAATGGAAGCATTCTGGTACGCAGATCTTTGAAAATACAAACGCTGTATCTGCATATATGTATCATATGTTATTTTATATAAATTATTTTGGAGGATTGGTGTCTATTCAGAAACACTCTCCTTGGCAGTTGCTGCGTTTGTTGCGAAATACGAGTCCAGACTGTAACCTTATCTGTGCATTGAAACTCACCTTGCTTCACAATACTCCTCTTCAAGCATCCTTTATTATTTACCGAGTCCTTGGCTCCAACTGATTCGACTGACCAAGGGTCACTATTGTTACAGGTCCCCACCTTTGTGTGATAGCCTCTGGGTATATATACTTATATAATAGGCGTTAACGGCAGGTGTGATTGTGTTCCAGTTCACTGACCCGCAGACTTTCATGTCTGATTGCCTCCCATGGATAAGGCAGGATAAAGGTATGCTTAATTGGTTTTGATATATTTCATTTATAAACCAATGAAAGCGATTTAATTATCCTTCTCTTAATTACAAGATGTATTTTGACAAAGACGTAAAATTGCTAACATGTTGACCTGCGGAATCTAGTAAAAGCTGGCCGCGTATAACTTTTAGCGTAGTTTTGTCACTCACAGTGTTGTTTGACAGTGCACTCTAGAGTAGTTGTTGTTTGACAGTGCACTAGAGTTGTTGTTGTTTGACAGTGCACTAGAGTAGTTGTTGTTTGACAGTGCACTAGAGTAGTTGTTGTTTGACAGTGCACTAGAGTAGTTGTTGTTTGACAGTGCACTAGAGTAGTTGTTGTTTGACAGTGCACTAGAGTAGTTGTTGTTTGACAGTGCACTAGAGTAGTTGTTGTTGGTTGTCTAACGCCGCACTCGGCAATATTCCCGCTGTACGGCGTTGGTCTGAGACTGTAAACAATCGAGTCTGGACCAGACAATCCAGTGATTAACAGCATGAGCATCGATCTACGCAATTTGTCTCTTCGCTGGTATGTTCCGAATGTATAAAAGTAATATGTTTCACCTTTTAGGGGAAATAATGGCGTAATTGTTTTCAGACAGTTTGTTTGCTTGATTTAAATTAATGTGAAACACTAACGGTATTATAATGTCATAAAGCGCCGACTGTTGAATTCTATGTGTAGCATACTGGTCAAATTTATCTTCATTTTGCTATTTTAAGGAGAGAATAAGGACATTTTCTGTGTTTGACTTGTTAAATGTCTAGTAAAATACCATAACTGAAAAGAAACACACAAACATTCCTTCACTTGACGACTTCAACTTTTTACATTCAGGAGAAGAATGTACAACATTGTATTACAACATTTCCTCTTGTATTGTGTCAAACGTTCGCCCGTCACGCCAACGACCCGGGTTCGATTCCCCACATGTAAGTCGCGTCCCGTAAGTTAGACCTTTGGGTCGAGGTAAAAATCCTTTGATGTTGTGACAACGGTGTTCTTGTAAGGGATTAAGACATTGGTTTTCTACAAAATGTAAAATGTGTTCACTGAAGAAACGAAATAAGACATGTGTACCAGTATGTGAGTGAATGCTTTTTTTAAGCGAGTGAGTTCACTCAATGAACATTTAGTTCACTCAGTTCATTAGTAGTGAGTTGTTCAATTTCTTACATAAACTTGCAGGCTATAAGAATGTTGGAACTGACATTCATCATCAATCCCAACAATTCATTTACGGCAAATGCACAATAAGACTTCAGTTTCTTTCTACTTTTCGTGGTGGAAGATACCTTTATGTAAATGGTTTTAGGTTCATTGTGAAAAAGAGGAAATTGGGAGAGAATGGATCTCGTGGAAATGCATTCAGAAAGACTGCAGATCAAGTCTCAACACTGAATGACATAATTTCTAAAATACCTGGAGACCACAACCACAGACCTGTACACAACGAAGTCAAGGTAAATCTGTAGCAAAAATAACGATATTTCTAAAAAAGATTAAAAAGTGACAGCAAAATCAATCTTGAATATATTGTGTATTCCTCATAGGCTAAATAAAAAGGTTACTTTAATAATACATGTTAATACTATGGATATTTTAATGTATGGTTTAAACATATTTATCATGGCGGGATTGTCAAACAAGCATAAACATGCTTATATCAATGTCGCTCCCTAACAATAATTTACAATTACATAGATAGTGACGTACGCTGTGTGCAAAACATATGGAAATCTACAAGGGCGATAGTGAAAATATATTATGTGACAATTTACAAAGAATTGATGAAGGCAAATACACTCAGTTTAAAATTTATTAGCTGTTGTGATATCATAATCTCAGAAAATAGAATAGAACTAAGTTAGGTAAATTGCGAGAATTTCGGGAAGATATGATATAGTTATCTAATTTAAGTCAATGATATTCAAAGAAAATGGTCATTTGTAGTGCTATAAACATTTTATGTAAATAATGTTAGATTATGTATTGTATGTCATGTTATTTAAAGACAGCTATCAACTTTACGTTAAAAGTATATATGTCTATCAAGAATGTTCAAATAAAATGTTGATAATTTTAGTGCTATAAGCATTTTGTATGTACATATTGTGTTTTATGTATATGTATTATTTATCATGTTGATAATAGAAATTACTGTCCGAATGAATGCACACATAAAAATGACATTATATACAGCGTGATTTATGTTCAGTTATTTTCCGGTGAACATTTTAGCATTAACCGTACAGTTGTAAAAACATTGACTGCCCCATTGTCTAGAACTAGTCGACCTTTACGACACACCCCTGCAAACCGACCAGTTTGTTTCTGCACCAATTCAATGGTCGGACTTACGGGACCTAACCGGTACAGTGTGTGAATCTCATTTCTGGTGTCCCCCGCCGTGATATTGCTTCAATATTGCTAAAAACGGCGTAAAACTAAACTCACTCACTCACACTTGTATTGTGTCGACACAGTGGTTAAATCGATTGTATGAACAAAACAACACAATGTTTCTTGTTTCACATATTTTATAATCATCACCATACTAAACATTATGAACAAAAATAGCGGAATTACTGAGTATATCATTTCCAGTTTGCATAATTAAACCATTCGTTCAGTCTCACAACAATATTTTGGCGTTATTCCCAGTACGTGTCTTTTCGTTGTATCATGTGAATAAACCTACTGAACATAGGAATATAGGCATAGGAAATCGTAGTACTTAATTAAACAGACTTGTTCCTCCAGCGGGATGCGTCCTGACTTAGCACGTATATATGTGATCACTTGACAGGGTTCCAGTCTAGCACTTAATATAGGTAAACCTTAAATAGTCACTTTTCAAAACATCGCATCCGGGCGATAAAAGACAAATTGTATAAGCACAACGTTTTAAGCATTCATTACACAAGTACAATGTTATTTCAGATTTATAAACACAAACAGAATACCCCGGAAATATGAATACTGTAGTCACAAGGGCCATGGAACCAACGTAAGTAGAATATAATAGAGCACAATTTCTCTTTCAACATAAGTGACTTTATAATAGAATTTTGAATTGTAATCACGTATTGGCACTATTCCAGTAAAATCTACATGTGCATACAGGAAATCATAAATATGTATTGTGTCTGCTTTAAGCTTAGTATCGGGAAATCATAAATTATAAACATGCATGAAATATATATACATTAAAATATACCCTTTCAGTTGGTAATTTCTGTGTAAAATCAGTGTAATCAGGTTTGGCAATAGAAGAAATACGCACTATATATATATACAGAAGTATTATCGTCGTTGTGTGAATTAATTCATGAAATATAATTATGTACATGAGGTAGGGATCGTTTCAAAGATTTTTTTTGCTTTAGGAACGGATTCCCACAAAACACTGCCTTGCTTTCGTAAGAGCATTTAGTAGCATTGACTACGAATTTACGCCACAACTATCTTTGATACAAACCCTCACAATCAATCACAGAAATCACAGACTGCTGTTTTCACCCGTTTTGTTGAATATAGAGACAATGGGCCACGTTAAATAGTTACCACATTCCACAGTGCTTCATACAATCAATTCCTCTATCAAATGTCATAATGATGTTGAAAATTATTAAAATAAATATAAAGTACCTTTATTTAGTGGAGTGAGAACTAAGATCTGACTTCATTGAGATTGGATATGGACTGAGATTGAAGCATTATCAATTCCAAAAGGACGTTGTAGATCGTGAGGTTAAGTTAAGCAAACTGTCCAATTTGAAAATTTACAAAGATTCCAGTTCTCTTGCTGACAAACCTGATCGAAGAGTTGTGTGCGTGTGTGTGTGTGTGCGTGCGTGCGCACGCACACACACGGAGAATATTAGCTTGTAAAACCTAGTACCTATGTGAGTACGGGAAGTAGGTCCGATGTTTGGTGTGGCTGGAAGAGGGGTTGTACGTGGGACGTCGCTGATTGGCTCTCTGGTCCAAACTCCGGAAGCTGCGATCGAACTTGAACTCCAGTTCGTCATCGAGGCTGATGTCGTGCTCGACACCTGTGGAGGCTGAGTAGGAAGAAGCTGGGGCGTTATAGGGCAGATGGGAGACGCGATGGCTGGAATAGATCGGACCGGAGAGTTTGGATCTGGCTGCAGAGAGGACGTCTTGGGCAGCCTTCACGGCATCGGTGGTGTCCGGGCTGGCCTTGAGGCTCTCTCGGGAGTCGGAGAAACCTGTGAGTAGAGGAAGACGAGGTTGATGTCTTGTGTGAGTGCGAATAGAGGGGCAGCGTTTATGTCTAGTTGTCTGAGTGTTAATAGACGACATGGGGCAACTATCCACTTCTCGGACTGTGAACAGACGGAGAAGGTGTACATGTCTTCCTGTCTGAGAGTGAATCGACGGAGGTGTTCATGAAGTCTTGACTGAGTGTGAACATATTGATACGGGGCAACTGTTCACTTGTCATACTGTGAATATAAGGAGACGGTGTTCATGTCTTCTTGTCAGAGTGAATAGATAGAGACGGGGCTTTTGTCTACTTGTCAGAGTGTGAGTAGGGAGAGACTCTGTTCACTTGCTTGTACTATGGATACGAATATAATGTCACATATGAACCTGTCAGAAAGGTAGGCATTAAAAAAGGAAGATATAGATCTAATCTTGCTGGAGAAAGACTCCTGGCATAGGGGTGAAGACCGGAGCCAGGGGTGATGTGTTATATAGTGGAACCCTGCTATATATGATACCAATCGGAGTTCCTAGACGCGTTGGCCATAACCGGGGGTCATGTATAATATAGTGGAACCCTGCTATACAGGACACCTACCGGAATCCGAGTTCCTGGACGCATTGGCTGGAGCCAGGGGGAGGATGTGTAATATAGTGGAACCCTGCTATACAGGACACCTACCGGAATCCGAGTTCCTGGACGCATTGGCTGGAGCCAGGGGGGATGTGTAATATAGTGGAACCCTGCTATACAGGACACCTACCGGAATCCGAGTTCCTGGACGCATTGGCTGGAGCCAGGGGGGGATGTGTAATATAGTGGAATCCTGCTTTACAGGACACCTACCGGAATCCGAGTTCCTGGACGCGTTGGCTGGAGCCAGGGGGGGATGTGTAAAATAGTGGAACCCTGCTATACAGGACACCTACCGGAATCCGAGTTCCTGGAAGCGTTGGCTGGAGCCAGGGGGGATGTTGCTGCCCTGGCCTGGTACTTCTGCAGCTCCTCCTCCTGCATCTGGGCGATGTATTTGACCGAGTCCAGCTCGGACCTAAGCTTATGGCACAGAGCCAGTGCCCCACGGGCAACAAGAGACTGGGGGACGATATCCGAGTCGAAGGCTTGCTGCAGCGTCCCCTCCGACAACAGGTTGAAGTTAACCTGCTCCAGGAGCTCCCGCTTCTGCTCCTTGCCAAGCTTGTCCTTCTCTGGAAGAGCAGACACGAAAACATTACACGTATACTCCATATATATGGGATATGCTCCGGTATTAGCGAGGAAGTGAAATAAGTTTTCATGCTCTTATCTGTCTGTCCACAAACGAGTAGTTTCAACATACACCAAAGCAACACTGTACACGCAGGACATTGTCGGGTGTCATTGCAACCGATGCTCGATCCATGCTCATGATGCGTGCGGATCACTGGATTGTCTGTTGCAGACTGGATTATTTACTGACAGCTGTCACATAGCTGGAATATTGCTGAGTGTGGCGTTAAACAATAAACCGATCGTCATTGAAAAGGCCTTTACTCCTGTAGATACATTATAACATCTGTCGTACACCATCCATTTCTCTTCAAGACAGGGGCCTTCTGTATTTATGATACAATTTATATATGAGGCATTGCTGTAAATCAACAGGTATAGAAGTTTTATGCCACGATAATATGTTGACACTGTCATACAAAGGAACAAGCACATTAGTTGGGAAAATCCCAAGCTGACGTCAGTACAGAGCCGCTTCATGGTTCCGACAGAACATTCATAGTCAGCCTTGTCATTCCACCCCATGTGGCAATATACGATAACTATCCAGGGCAATGGAACAAGGATACCACTTAATGACACAAGGCAGGCGATGGTAATTGAGGCTTATATGTCCTATCCGGCTATCTACAGTATGTGTTACCCTCCAGTGTTTGTCATGATAGGTAGACCAGCCCTGATAGATGTCCACAAGGAGGCTTCCTAACCCTACTGACAGATTACCTTTGTGGTACTTCAGAGTGTACGGACTTTCAAAGATCCGAGCTTTTGTAATCCAACAAGAAGACCACGACTGGCAAGAGCCTATATGTTCCTAAATAATGCAGTATCGGCTGCCAGTACTGATGACAACCAGAACTGGATAACATAAAGCCGGAGTCGGAGATCATGCAGTACTGATTACATAACCCTGTATGGTAGACTTGAAGTACTCATGACATAAGCCAGTATCAGATGTCAGTACTGATTATGTAAAACCACTATTGGATACCATTAACATAAACTAAATTAAATATTGTTGACCAACCAGTACTGATAACACAACACCAGTATTGAGTTCCAGTACTGATGGCACAATACAAGCCTTGGAGGTCATGTAGTAATGGTGACACAAAAACAGTATTGGAGGCCTTTTAGTACTGAAAACACGAAACCAGTATTTAATGCCAGCACTGATACCAACAAGTATCAAGTACCATTACTGATAAGGTGAAATGTAATGTACGCTCCACCCGGACGCCCAGTAAGCGGTTAATCACTCTGCACCTATATTATTTCCATGCAGTACCCGACGACCACGTGGGGTAGCCCTATCTGGTTCCCCTTCCCCCAACTGCCCTTTGTACCCGGGCATGTTATTTTATAGCATAATGGAACTGGGTAAATATTCTTCCACATACTCTGGATTCATTTGCCACCAGTTTTATCTGATGAGATACAATCCTGCTGTAGCTATAAAGAAAGCCATTTCAAGGCAGTGGTCCAACGGAGTTGGAACACTTGCCAAGAGAACTTGATTGTGATCTGCAACTTCTATTGTGCTGTTATTGCGTCTGCGGGACTTTTAGCCCTACGTGTTTCAGCAGATTGTACACGTACAGGGGAGGTTAATGCAGTTTTCAAAATAGATTTACACTTTAATCGGGGATAATTTATGGAAGTATTTGCAGGGAACGGAGATTGGTCGGATCGGTCCAGCAATTACCACAATCAGCTGTATTCAGTACATGTACATTACGCGTTAACTGACGTGACGGGGTTATGGGGTCACATGCCATTCGTTTCGTAATAAAGTTCTGTTTTCGGAGAGGTATTTGCATTAGCGCATCGTCTCGGATATGAAAGAACAAATATGCTTCCACTTAAGTTAAGCTAATTTTGACAGCCATTTCTCCTTGAAAAGGCCCAGTATGTATCAGAGAAAGGGAAACGCCTATGTTTAAGTACTTTCTTCTCGAAGATCAAATGGTAACGAATCACTTAGAAATCTGATACTCTCGTGTCCACGACGGTCTGTTAATACTCAGGGTTAAGCAAACAGCCGGAGGACACCTTGATCTACGTAAAGGGAACAAGTCATTTATTGTAAGTGGAGTGGATCAGAGGGAATAAGGAGGGGTCGCAAAACCTATGATAGTTCCTCGGAAAAAGATATTATAGTATACTAGTAGGGAGGGTCATTATAAAATGGTCATTTTATAACAGATGTTTCTTTTTTGTGTTTAATGTTTTCAGTAAGGATAATAAAAATGAACACGGTCATAGGGAGGGTCATCTAAAAATATGACAAGCATCAGGAGAAGATCACTCTGCACATTTGTGCATCAAAACCCACTGACCTATGCTTCCTGTAATAATTGACCGGTCCCCTGGTCACAATGACACACACTGGGGCATGTCACACCTCATAATCCCCTGATCCTCAGTAATCAGCTTTTACGAAAAGCATGGCATATTGGGGATCAAGTCTTCCTCGAAATACCAATAGTGACCTTTAACATGTTTGATAATGTTGATCATATAGGACAGGTGAATTCAGTGTTACTGACGATGTGCATTGTTTTCTAGTAACAGATTTACAGACTCACCTGTCTTAAGGATGTATTCAAGGACCTCATACATTTTATCATGGGTGACTCTGCCGCTAGATGGCGCTGCGGAAGCTAGAAGTTTGAACGTCTCTGCCGTCAGGACGCCCTTGCGTGCCATCTCAGACATATAGGTATCCACAAGCTTGCATGCGTTCTCGGCATGGTCTCCGTCGCCCCTGGTCGACTCCAGCACGATGTCGTGTAGAACAGACGGCGAGATAATACACAAATCCTCCGGGGAGAGCTTGTTGAGCATTTCTCCTGCAATCTTGACTAGGACTTCACGACAAGAACAAACACGAGCTGTTGCTACCCTGAGAACTTTCGTTATCCACTCTGTAGTCACCTCCGATACAGCATACGCCTCTTCAGGCAACACCATAAGGATCGCGTCTAAGACTTTTGAAATGTCAACCTTAACGACTGATTTGTCTGTAGATTTCGAACTTATTGTGCTCGTTTTGGTTGAATCATCTTTATCTTGAATCTTTCCTTTAGAATCTGACTTCGATTTGGTGTCGTCTGCCTCATCTTTTTCTATAGCAATCGTGACATACCTTATCGCCATTTCTCCTAACTCGGAGAGCTTCACTCCCTTTTCTTTTCCTTGCGTTAGAATTTTAACAAACCATTCCACAGGTAGAGTGTATAGGTTATTGGAAGCTTTCTCGCTTTTTTCCTCTGAAGGCTTCTTGGAAGTCGGGCTGCTGAAGCGTGTGGGTAGTTTTAACCAGCAGTCAACTAGAGCCTCGATACACTGGTCCACTATCCCGGCTCTCTCAGCAAGCGTCCCAACAGTAGCACAATATAACAGCAAGGTAACGATCCCAGCACTCGAACGACTCATTTTAGCAGACGTAATTGTATCTTGGAGGAATTTTTCAGATATCTCGATTAGATTTGCTTCTCCGTTCATTTGAAGATATTCCGCAGCACATCGTACTTGGACGATGTTGTTTTTAGTCAAATCGTAGTTCATGCTGTAACAGAAATCAGCAACGAGGCTGAAAATATCTTGACCACCCGGAAAGTTTGTCAACTCCACCTTTTGAGTATCCGATATGTTGCCGCGAGCGAGGTTGTTGAAGTACCCCGACTTAGTGTACAGCGGGAATTTATGCAGTTTAAACGTGTTGCCGTCAACATTCACTGTCAGGTCGGACAAATCTCCCGTCTCACGAAACCTTGAGAAATTCATTTTGACTGAAAATTGTTGTAAATCGTAGCACGGTGTGTCGTCTGCTCGTAGATCAAGGCTTTCTATATCATTGACATGCCTGTCAGTGTCAATATCATATTTACTGTCACTCACGCTGCCTAGCAACAACCAACGCTACAACTAAAATACATGTGCGGTTGAAAGGAGACCGTGTTCTCCACCAGCAGTGTGAAACAATACACGTACCATTTGTCACAATAATGTCAATTCGCGCCCTACCTTGTCAGTCCCAGAATCGGTAAAGTTCCGGAAATGTCTAGTAGGCGACAAAACAACAGAGCAAATATGTCCCGTTTCTTTTCCCTTTCTGTAAAGTGATATATGTCTTTTAAATACCGCTGCTGTCATGAAGCCAAGAACCCAGCTTGTGCTTACAAAACGCAACACACAACTGACTAGGGGTACTAGTTCAACGCCACTAGCTGTTTGTTATTGATGTGGAGCGATAATAGTTACCCATGTTCCAACATGTCTGAGTCGGGCTCTAGTTTCGCGGGGTAGTGTTAGTATCAACACACGTATCACTATAGCTGTCCTCAACATGGGCGGGTAAATACGTCAATTTTGTGTCACTCCGTAGCTATGTGATCAGCAAATATAAGCCATTGTCACTTAATATTGAACCCCGAATTATCAATCACCGCCAATTTTCCCGCCATGTGTTTCAGCTGTACCCAATGACAAACGGTATCGGTGGAGCGATTTAGTGAGTAAATAGCCATGGTTTACACACGACGCTGATTGCTCCTCGCTATTACGCGATTGTGTTGTACTAACTGTAAAAACCAATGCAAGCATTAGAGTGTGGCAATTTAAGGGCGGTAATGCTATGAGAACTGTTGCGTTACTATAATACTTTGTATATGGTAGTGCTTGTATATAGAGCCTCGATATAGGCATAGGGCTATCAGTGGCACAATAGACTTGATTTGTCTCTACGGGATTATATTGAAGACTCAACGCGGCTCCAGTCACAATGCCTGTTTTAAATCTGTCGGAACGCCACGGATACCTACCCTGCTTTTGAATTTCATTTTGTATTTGGTATTTGTCAGTTCGATAATTCTGTTAAAGTAACGTGGATTATATGCATGAAAAACAAATAGTGTCAGTTAAAGTCTGATTTTTTAAATATTTCAATCTGCTGTCTTATGCACTGTGTACAAGAGTAGTTTCAATGTATTTTTTCATCAAGATGTATTTTCAAAGACATCTGCCATACTGCCATACGTATATCTTTATAATTTAAAAAAACCCAACAATTGCCAATGTCCATGGTGTATTTAGTTTTTAGATTATATTGAACATTCAAAGATATATTCACATACATATATTGCAATTGCAAAAATTATCAGAAACACAAAAAAACTTCAAATTAAGTACACTTGTTGGTAAAAGCTGTGTAATTTTAAATATTAAAGCCATGACGAAGTATGTTAAGGAGACAGAAACAGTCTTGCCTGATCCACGTACAGTCATTGTTGTGCCATTATGTGACCGACAAAGGCTCGAGCCAATCGTACTGGCTACCAGGTCTGTTCCCGTGGGTATTTAAACATACGGCGAATGGCTCGGGTTCAATGGTGACTATTTAAACCCAGGTGTACCCGACACACGTTAAACGTTGACAATATCTTGAAAGTCTGACACTGAGTCGCTATTCGGAGCTAACGTGTAATATATCACACCATTATCAGCGGTTATGCCGCCATATCCTGACATAACAAATACCCACCAAAGAATCGAATCTGGATTTTTTGCGAGACCAGCGACTGCAGGTACCACATTGTATTCACTGTACGATTCAATGTAATGGACACATTGTTTAAAATTGTATAAAGGAAAATACATTGTAAATACATTGTAAATGTATTTACTATTTATTTTGGTCTCACTAGCTGACTTCACAGCAGGCTAGTTTAGTGAGTGAGTTTAGTTTTACGCCGCACACAGCAGTATTCCAGCTATATGGCGGCGGTCTGTAAATAATCGAGTCTGGGCCAGACAATCCAGTGATCAACAGCATGAACATCAATCTACGGAATTGAGATACGATGACGTGTCAACCAAGTCAGCAAGCCTGACCACCCGATCCCGCTAGTGGCCTCTTACGGCAAGCATGGGTTACTGAAGACCAGTTCTAACACTACACTTTACGGGCACAGGTTAGTTTAGGTCGAAGCATCCAAAATCATAAGCTCTTAGTTTTAACCGGGTGATTATGTTTTAATTCTATTCAGGAGTTTGGTGTACGTTAAAGAGCTTGTCATAGATGTAATATACAGAAGACCAGAACTAGGTTTCACGCTCGAGCCTCACACGATACCGACATGACGAAACTGATGCTTATACTACCGTATCACAAGAACTGAACTATCTCCGAAATATCAGTTGATGTTCCAACAATTAGGCTAATTTCACAGTGAGTGGGGTTTTAGGCTTATTTAAGTAATATTCAAGCAAAATCACGGCGAAGAACATAAAAATGGGTTTCACATACTGTACCATTTCGGGAATCGAACCAGGGATTAAGACATGAAGAAGGTACGTTTAAAGCACATAGGAACGTATTTATAAAACACATAGCCTACTCCACCGCACCAAGCACCCATTAATTCCGACAGCTGTGAAGTACCCTGCACGTATTATTCCAGGGGTCAAGGTGACACGATTCAATATTATATGACAGAAAACTCCTTGCAAAACAAGTCCCACATACACCGGGCTCTGTAATTGTATTTAAAGACAGGAGAAATTCTGATGTTGACCCTAAACCAGTACATGGGAAATGCATCTGTACATGATCACTTTGGTACTATAATATCTATTGATTTATTAGCACACATGGTATCACAGTTTGGAGTCGTTTACTTTTTAGTGCATTATGCTAATACAAAATCTCTTCTGCAACCTGAATTATATATAACTGTATTCCGAGACAAACAATTAGTGAAAGCAATCTGTAAATTCCGAATATCACTTCACAACTTTCGGGTCAACAATATCCGTAAAAGGTCAATATGGTTGAATGTGCCACATACAGAATCTGCGTGTAAAAACTGTGACCCTCATTTGATATAAGATGAATACCATGTCTTTTTTAAATACTCGCTTGAGCAATAGTTTTCTTATATCATTACAAAAATATTTTGATGGTAGAATAGTGTTTGAAAATATATTTAATTCCTGTGATAACGTTCAACGCTCGATAGCTTTATAGTTATGTAAGATATATACAATGAGATTAATACGTAGGTCACATATACAGAGTATTACATATGTGTACTTTATATGCTTTATCTTACAACTGTACCATGGGCCGACTCGTGAAGATCCGGGTTAGAATTGATCTACAGTGACACATGTTGGCGTAAGAGGCGATTAATTGAGCGCACGAGTTAATATGTTTGAGTTAATATGTTGCACAAGTTAACATCTTGAGTGCACAAGTTAATATCTTGAGCGCACAAGTTAATGCCTTGAGCGCTGAGGTTAGTTATCTTGAGCGCACAAGTTAATATCTTGTGCGCACAAGTTAGTCTGTTGAGCGCTCAACTTCGTGTTTAGCATCTAATGACATTAATGGAACGCACGTTTGCTTGACTGCTGGCTAAAATGTACAAACATATATATCCTTTTTGGAAGATATCAAACGATGCAAAGTCGGAGTTAACTAGGTGCTTATGATGACTGTAAAAGTATGCAAATTTATCATGAATATTGATCATGTTTATGTAAACGTTCATCGTCTTTATGCTTGTCAATACTATTCTTTGTAACTGATTTGACCACTTTTTGCTTTATTACATAAAGCAGGCCCAGGTATGTGTAATGTCATAATAAGAATTAATACATAAACATGAGTAGTGGTTTTACTGACTTCTAATGTTGGTACAAAGTATTATGAACACTAGCGTAAAGCTTGGATAACTTGTTTTGTGCTACGGCTTTATTATGTATATATTGTATTACATGACGATGAGAAATGGAAACACTGAGTGTTATACTTCTTAATGATAAAACTGATGTCTGATGTATTGGAAGTAAAGTCGACCGCTTTCGGGGAACTATAGTCTGTAGTCTTTGTTTGCATGTATTGATCAGTAACTGTTTCCTACCTTGGGTACAATTGCAGTTAACTCTGTACAATATATATATAAAATAGGGGCCTTATGGTTATTTGATCCAGGATCCGGGTTAGTATGGGCACGTTAAGCCCATAGCACATATACTGGACTTTATTTCTTACTAAAATACCATGTTCCTCGTTTAACTTCCTCCGTTTCAATCCCTTATGTATACGTATGTGTGTTGTAGTTTATTTAATATGTTTTAACAACACAGGAAGTTGAAGAATAAACACGTCGGTGAAGACAGTGTCCTGAGCGAAATTCAACACCATTCGGGTCCATCAACGACCGTACAGTATCCTGTTTCACGATTAAACCGCATTGGATACATTTTTGATGCATCAACGATAACCATGTCTTTGTCCAGATCGTCGAAGTTGTCCGCAATAAAGTCTGTAACATCAGCGGGGCGGTGGGGTAGCCTCGTGGTTAAAGCGTCCGCTCGTCACGCCTGGGTTCGATTCCCCACATGGGTACAATGTGTGCAGCCCATTTCTGGTGTTCCCCGCCGTGATATTGCTGGAATATTGCTAAAAGCGGTGTAAACTGTACTCACTCACTGTAACATCAGCAAATCTGGTATCTGGTGCGAAAGAGGGACATACACCTCAGAATACGCTTCAAGTGGCGTACTATACTATACAATGATTTTTGACAAGAGGATGTGTTATGTGTTTGTATGGAACCCAAGACTGAAATAAGCATGAATCAGCTCGCGTTTCCGCTCCTCCTTGCTTCCACATGAACTGCTTATGGAGTAGTGTATCTCAAGATACTAAGTTGAGCGCTCAACATACTAACGTGTGCGCTCAAGATATTAACTCGTGCGCTCAAGATAAATTTTATTTCATCAGGTCCTTACAGTGCTTCCGTAGTAAAGTATAGTTCTGAATTAAGAACAGGAGTCCAAATTACGGAAGCGCTGAAGGGACCTGATGAAATAAAATTTATCTTGAGCGCACGAGTTAGTATGTTGAGTGCACAAGTTAATATATTAAGCGCACAAGTTAACATCTTGAGTGCACAAGTTAATATCTTGAGCGCACAAGTTAGTATGTTGAGCGCACAAGTTAGTATGTTGAGCGCACAAGTTAGTATCTTTTGCGCACAAATTAATATCTTGAGCGCTCAACTTCGTGTTTAGCATCTAATGGCATTAATGGAACGCACATTTCCTTGACTGCTGGCTAAAATGTACAAACACATCCTTTTTGGAAGATTTCAAACGATGCAAAGTCGGAGTTAACTAGGTGCTTATGATGAGGCTATGTTAAAGAATGCACATTTATCATGTAAAAGTTCATCGTCTTTATGCTTGTCAATACTATTCTTTGTATCTGATTACCACTTTTTGCTTTATTACATAAAGCAGGCCCAGGTATGTGTAATGTCATAATAAGGATTAAAACATAAACATGAGTAGGAGTTTATTGCAGGGATGAATAGTGGTTTTACTGACTTCTTATATTCGTACATAGTATTATGAACACTAGCGTAAAGCTTGGATAACTTGTTTTGTGCTACGGCTATATTATGTATATATAGTATTACATGACCATGAAATATGTAAACATTGAGTGTTATACTTAATTGTCTAAATTATAAAACTGATGTCCGATATATTGGAAGTAAAGTCGACCGCTTTCAGGGAACTATAGTCTGTAGTCTTGGTTTGCATGTATCAGTAACTGTTTCCTAACGTGGGTACAGTGGCAGTTTAACTCTGTACAATATCATATACAACCCGCCTGATTTATTTGATCCAATAGTATGTGCACGTATAGCACATATACTGACTTTATTTCTTACTAAAATACCATGTTCCCCGTTTTACTTCCTCTGTTTCAATCCCTTATGTATACGTTTGTGTGTTGTAGTTTATTTAACATGTTTTAACAACACAGGAAGTTGAAGAATAAACACCATCCGGGTCCAACAACGACCGTACAGTATCCTGTTTCACGATTAAACCGCATTGGATACATTTTTGATGCATCAACGATAACCATGTCTTTGTCCAGATCGTCGAAGTTGTCTGCAATAAAGTCTGTAACATCAGCGGGGCGGTGGGGTAGCCTCGTGGTTAAAGCGTCCGCTCGTCACGCCTGGGTTCGATTCCCCACATGGGTACAATGTGTGTAGCCCATTTCTGGTGTTCCCCGTCGTGATATTGCTGGAATATTGCTAAAAGCGGTGTAAACCGTACTCACTCACTCACTCACTCACTGTAACATCAGCAAATCTGGTATCTGGTGCGAAAGAGGGACATACACCTCAGAATACGCTTCAAGTGGCGTACTATACTATGCCATGATTTTTGACAAGAGGATGTGTTATGTGTTTGTATTGGAACCCAAGACTGAAATAAGCATGAGTCAGCTCGCGTTTCTACTCCTCCTTGCTTCCACATGAACTGCTTATGGAGCAGTGTATCTCAAGATACTAAGTTGAGCGCTCAACATACTAACGTGTGCGCTCAATATACTAACTCGTGCGCTCAAGATAAATTTTATTTCAACAGGTCCCTTCAGCGCTTCCGTACCAAATCATGACTGATATAGCCAAAAAATCTGAACTGCTCTTGGCTCCTTAGAGATTTTATTCACGCTTCCTTGCATGCATACAGAAGAGGAACACTATTTATGGATATACATCGAACCATCGCATCTATTGCCAAAAGGAACCTGTCTATCCATAATAACCGTTTCGCTTCATCATAGCAACTTCTAAGTGCCACTTAAAGAAGGTACGTATATATTGTTAAGAAGCTAACTTTCTGGGACACATGTCAGCGTAGTAGTCGGACATATATACCCAGCATGTTGATGAATGTACCAGTTGTGCAGCTGCGTCCACTAATCTGACCCACCACTGTAGCCTCGATAACAAGTGATAACAGGCCTTGTGACGATTTAAGTGATACGTATGTACTTCATCTCAAGAAGGGTCAGTGTTGATAAGCAATCCACATCACAAGTCCCCTGGTGGCTGGGTCATAGTCTCATACAGACCCTGAAACAAACGTATCCAAGAAATTCCATGCAAGTCTAGAATATGTTGCAAGTCTAGATTTCCACAGTTTCAGGTCTCAGGTCTCCTTTTCATTATATTTAATTTTTTAAATTTTTTATGAATTGCTTTTTTTCTGTAAACAATGTTCATTTCAGAGACTAGCTATCAAAATGTCACGAAATTGCTAAATTTGGTATCATTTTGTAGAAAAATGTGTCCCGAATCTAATTATGTAATAAAAATAGCAAGTCACCACTGCATTTGTTTGACAAGAGGCGCCCCGTTGTGGCACCGTCTGTAAAAAGTAATATGTCAATAAAAGTTCTCTTAAAAGTAAATTGTTTACTTTTATTATTCAATATAAGTGTTTTTATAAAGATATTTCAGTATTGATATGTAAAAAGCAATTTTCAAGGCAGTTTGTAGGATTTGGCACATGGATTAACTTCTAAAAAAACAGGAATTTATAAAAAAAATATTGATTCATCAATGAATTTTTTTTATATAATACGATTTTTTTATCAAATGAATTTTTATATAGTTAATTCACACAAGATTAATAATCAAAAATTAAAAAAAAAATGTTACCAGAGGGTATCAACATTATCTCCAATTAAAACAACATACCCAAATTAGATTTGATAAGGGGAGATAACTCTTGCCCAGGTTTACCTCAGGATAAATGCTTGTGTGGCCTTTCTTTGTTAGTTTTCAATCACCAAAATGATAAGAAGAAAGATAAAGGGAAATAACTGCGTAACATAAAACTAACAGAAACGCGCTAGTACTGTCACATCCCGTCGCATACGGTATGCGCACAAACAAAGGTATCCAACCTCTATGTCATATGACATGACCTCGTGCTTACCTATAGTAGGTCCGAATAACTGTTGGATGTCAGCATCATGAGCCGTGGATTTATCAGAGTGGTAAAGGTCTGAGACCTGCATCATTCAGTGTCTTCCTCCCGGATCAAGTTGACATCCATCTCGCACACACCGGCCCACTCACTCTCTCTTATCTTATCTATGTTACAGTATAGGAGGTACGAATAACCAAGACAATACTTGCACACCTACCCAATAAATGCACGATGTAAAATGTATTTTAAACGTCAACATTGCAACGAAATCAGCATGTCAAATGCCCGAATTGAAGAGGGACAGAGAAAAAGCTTTCAGCGTAATGGACAATGGGCACACACATCTAAATCCGTTCAAGTTCAATGAAACGCCACATAAATAGTGTGATTAAACACACCCTGCTTCAAGGCAAGCAACAACTCTCCGGCGCACAGAAAACGTCGCTCATACTGTTAATGTAGCAGGAGTACACATCTGTGTAAAACACAAGAACTGACATGAGTATCTCCTTTGTATCTAAACATAAATCGACAATTTCTGTTTACCGACTAAAGCAGGACAGTATGAGTTACCAGCATCATTCATTGCACGTTACCGACATCCAGACTTTGAGTAACCGACATTCTCGCGCGATTTTAAAAATGCTTATTCTTCAACACATAGACATTAATAAGCAAATTCAGCGCATTCAATGTATTCACACCATCAAAGTTTATCAGTGTGCTAAATAATGTTGATTGTATACACGTGGAAGGCTGCTAATTCGAGGGGAATAATCGCCAAGCGATCTTACCTGCCGCCATGTTGGGATGCTAACGTAGCGTGCCTTTCCACATCACCTTAGGTTCAGCGACGATAGCTGTGTGAAACGGGGCCCAGTAATCATGAAAAGAGTGAAAATATGATGTTTAATCTGATTAATATTGTCTGTTGAGTTCGGCAATATTCTAGATACTTTAATCATGTTCTGTATTTAGTAGACACTGGACCAGAGAAACCGGTGATTGATATTAAGAGTAATGTTCCACGTCGTCGCGTTACGATGTCAAGTGACCAGCCAAATAAACCAAGACTGGCCTACCCATTGCCGCTCGCATTGCCAAGGGTGTGCAGCTTGTGAGCAGGTCGTGCGTAACATTGGATGAATTATTTTACGTTTAAGCCCGTGTATAGCTTAGGATGCAGCCATAGTCATGGATCTCAGCAGGATTAGGCACAGCAGGAACATTGGTGACGATATACTTTCGCACCAACAGCTGCAACGACTTCCGGAACGGCGAGTTCGAGCAGAACATCCACAAACACATTTATTCAGACAATCCGCTAGGCCAGAATCTTGCATCACATCGTGCATTTTGTGTGTAAAATATCAAAATATCAAAACATGTGATGTAAGAATAACCTAGATAAGAGTGGTCCTCAAGCACGCTCAGGTATACACATACATACATGAGACTAGGTCACATTGATTATACTATACTACACACGTAGTAAAAGGGAGCACATTTTCTGACCTTGTAAATGTGAAGGACTTTCTTGATGAGTCAGCATCTTTTTCAACATTCAAATTTCATCAGTATTGTGTTTGTTTAACGTGATAAATATACCGTGTTTTGAATTTGTGAATATGTTTTTGTGAAGACTGAACTTGGTATCTTGAGGTTGTTCACCGGTTGTTAAGATTGTTTACAAGTTTGTGCTTGTTAACATTTTCTTTACGTCACGCATTTGTTAGCCAGGCTCTGTATAGTAAGGTTGTTTATCAGGTTAAGTTTCCATTACTTTAAGGTGAGATGACAGGTTGGGAGGGGCGGTATTTGTAATTGTCTTAACTACACATTACTTTTGAAATAGGCATATAATTACTGGGGAATGACGAACGACAATGAGATAATTGTCTCACGGTATATCCATCAGTTCTCAGGCCTCTCCAGTGCTCCAGGTGAACTACCCCGACCAGCAGCGAAGTCAGATTCTTGACTTTAACACATGTTATATAATATTTGGCAGTACACTTTGTCAGTAAAGTACAGATTCTAGTACTGTCAAACCTAGAAAAATAAACAGGGCGAATTGTGATGATGATGAGTTTGAGAAATAACGTGCGCTTTCCGACATAAGGGCGAGGGCGAAATAGGATTCGAACCCGCATTTGCAGGTTGTTAGTGTGTCTGTATGTCAAAGGGGTGCAAGTCTGGTACTTTCTTTGAACGAGGTACATTTTTTCCCAGAGTTACAACTAATTTTGGTTTAGTTTTGTATGTGTAAAATCTGTCAACGACTATTTGACACGAAAATTCCCCACATCTTAATCCCACCTAGAATTTAGAAGGATCGGTGCGACCACCATGTTCCAGAATACTGTCATCTTCTGCCACAGAGTGTGTGTTTCCAGGACCAATATCTCCATTAAGGTACATGTCCGTCTCCTCCTGTCAACTCCACGAGCGGCTTGTTCCTGACAGCAAGGGTGGGCAAGACAGGAATCGCGCTTTGTGATACTCCCGGAGTGTTCTTCTATGTTTCCAGCTCTTGCATGCTATCAGTTTCCAGCTCTTGCATCCTATCATTGGACATATGTAGGTCGTAAAGGCTATGTAGGCACAGTCTACATCCATTCCGTCACCATGACATTATTCATTAGTATCCAAGAGGTAGGAGTGACTACAACATCGCACTCAGAATTTCAATAGATTCATGTAAATCATTGTCTCTTGCCCATGCAAACTACTGATGGATAATATGACAGCATCAATACAAGCCAACCAGGAACTGTGACACTGTCAGTCAGCTCACAAATTTGAATTAACTCTCAGTTATAGCTCTTAGAACATCCAATATTCAACGCCTGTTCTCTCCGAAATAACCTGATAGTAACACAGTGAAATACTTCAGTTAATTCATAATCAATTTGCTTTTGAAATAGCCTATCGATGCATTAAAGAACCAATATTTCCTTTTCTGTACACCGAGGACACAACGTCCATCCACAGGAGCAGTCAAATATCGCAAAGGTTGGAACACAATCGAACTACATCTTCTGGTAAGCTTTGGTCGTCAAAATTGCTTCAAACTATATTTGCATGGAATGTAGTGTCAACTCTCGTAGTCACTGATATGTCGAATTATGATATCACGATATTAGTTGCTATAACTTTGTCTACAGATGCGGGTTAGCAACTTGGCATGCGTATCCTTCAACACAATCAGCAATATAAACATACTCCGGTTTTAGAGAAATGTCGTTCTTCTCAGCAGGTTAGCTCAGCGAATGTTTATGACGAAGCTCCAACAAACAAACCATTCCTCACTAAAATGTTCTCTTCAAACAAGTATGAGGAACCTGTGTCTCGATATCTGGCGAACTACATTTATTCAACTGCAAGATCGTGTGACCAAACACATGCTATTCCACTACAAATCTTCATAATTCGGCGGGGGTCGGAGTCGGTGAGTACGCCACGCGGGAGACACGGGATAGATTGGCACATGTCTTCTGTCCCACGCCGACATTGGCTGCAGTATGGCAAAACGGTACCTAAAACACGCTGACTCACCCATAACTAGAACCTTGGTTGCAATATGCTGAGGCGATGTAGTGAGTGAGTGAGTTTAGTTTTACGCCGCTTTTAGCTATATATCAGCAATATCACGGCGGGGGACACCAGAAATGGGCTTCACACATTGTGCCCATGTGGGGAATGGAACCCGGGTCTTCTGCGTGACGAGCGAACGCTTTAACCACTAGGCTACCCCACCGCCCCCTGAGGCGATGCAAACTTTCATACATTTATTATGAAACGTCTTCATAGTATTTCTGAAAGACCATCTCGTGATATCAGATTTACTTGCCCTTGCGACACCATGTAAGGAAGTAATGACTTAGTAATCACCCAAGGTGATGTGGTGCTTGGCTTCGTGGACGGCATAGAAGTGCCCCGCCAGAGCCAACTAACGGGTTACGACCTGGGAACAACCAACTTGGGGCGGGCGAACGTTTACCACCTGTATATGTTTCTATATAACATGATATAACATAAGAAAACGATATCAGCAGCACCATAACATACGTTCATCATGTCAGTCGAAATGTTCAGAGTATCAGTAAAGAATCAGAGTGACCACTGTTGGGTCATTCTGCTGGTGATTTCCAGAATGTATGAAAGGAAACTGAACGATTCGCTAGCTTATTAAGAGCAAATGATCGATCGACAGCGCGTGATTGTATTGCAGTGGAGTGAGTGACTGAGTGAGTGAGTAGGGAATGACGCTTCTTTTAACAGTATTTCAGTTAGATCAGTAGAAGACTGAACGGATGCAGGTTTTGGAAACAATACATCATTGTCCCCAAGTAACATATCTAAAATGTAACGAAGGCTATACGCGAAAAAAAGAAAGCATATAGAGCAATTGTCTGTTAGATTTATTTCTGTCGTATAGCTCAATATCAGGGGTTACAACATTAACGGCACACTGCTGATGAACCTGCGTGTGTTTTTGTTATTGGTATTGCCCGTCTTTCCGCCTGAGGAGCTACCCCATACTTGGTCAGGCGGGTGGCAGGTGCTTGGTATCCGGCCGAGAAAACCCCAAAGGGTCTCTACTGGGGACGAACCGGGCACCTCTATTGTCTGTATACCTTCTCTTCGGTGACCAGGACCTGGACAAGAAATTTGGCCAGTCAAGTGGGTGTTTTAATAAAACCCAACCCAAAACAAATAAACCCTCCCCCCAACCCCATGACGTGTCATGTCGCTCCACACCAAGACTCTAACGCCTCCAAGACATATCATGGTCAGAAATGGTAGTACACCGCTCTCCACTACGTCGCAAACAACGTTTTCTGCCATCAGGGATTCAGACAGAAGGCGTTAAATCGTCTGCCAACATGGTATAACGCCAATTGCTAGTATAGTATGACCAGAAATTATTGAGAATTTTAGGAATATGTTTAATTGGATTTCTAGTATAAACAACCTTGACCAGCTATCAAGTGCTTGGTGTCATTCAACAGAGACAACTCCGTTAATCCTTTTTCATTAGTTTGTGAAGAGTTATCCCCCTTTGTTTACTTGCTAGCAGACGACATTTTCAGTGATCCTCAGTATGGATGATTTAGAGAAGAGGAAGTTGATTTTAGAGTATTATAACAAGGACATCAGATCAGCTAAAGTGATTTGAAGTAGAACAGGCATCCCTTTGTCCACTGTTTATCGTGTTTTGAAAAATATTGCAAATGGATATGGCATTGAGCACCTGTCGGTGACAGGAGGCGGCTTGGTATTCTTGTTTCTAAAAACAAACGAAGGAGTTTAGAAAACTTAAGGCTGGATATCATTAATAGAGGAACTGTGGCTGTCTGTAAGGAGACAATTAGAACTGAGCTGCATGCAATGGGTTGGCAGAAAAGTCGAGGAATTCCATCACCGATCATGAAACCTGAACAAAAGGAGCGAAGGTTGAACTGGTGCTTACAGCATAGAAACTTTAACTGGGACAATGTGATTTTCTCAGATGAATGTTCTGTGTGGCTGTTTCCTAATACACTGAAATTCTGGACCAAACAAACTGAAAAACTTTTGTATCAGCGCCCAAAGTACAGTCCGAAATTTAACGTGTGGGGTGGCATATCTGTGTTAGGGGCAACGCCCCTCTGTGTATTTGAAGGGAATATGAAGAGTGAGCGGTACACAGATATTCTCGAGGGACATTTACTTCCATCTGCTCACGTGTTCTATGGAAACTTTTGGATTTTCCAGTAGGACAACGACACAAAACATCGTTCAAAGCATTCACAGGCCTGGTTTCGGACCAAAAATATGACATTGTTAGATTGGCCAAGCTATAGCCCTGACCTAAATCCAATAGAAAATGTTTGGGGACTTATGAAGGAAAGTGTCAATAAGAAAAATCTGACAAATATTGCTGAAATGAAAGAAGAGGTGGTCCGATATTGGCACAGCATGGACCACGACTTTCTAACTTCTTTGATCAGTAGTATGGCCCGCCGCATTGAAGCCTGCATTGCTGCCCATGGTGACTTGACAAAATACTAACTGTTCGCCAGTCTTTGAATCTGGAGATATGTTCTGCTAATATTCACATTTAATAAGTGAGTAATGAGTGAAAAAAATAATTTTTTTACAATCTTTAGATTCTCAATAATTTCTGGTTGTACTGTAACTCTTCACTGATGTAGGCTAGCCTATCCAAAACTTTACCTCCGAGTGATAGTATGTGTCCCACAGTCAATATGATACTTTTGATTCGCCAAGCATTCTGCCAGCGTGGGACATTATGCTCCCACATCTATGGTATCTACAATTCGCCCGAATGTTCACTGAGGTAATGTATTATAAAGTATGAGCTTAGCTCAGTTTGCATGACGATTGTGGATTTCCACGATATCAACATTTCAATCAACAAAAGACCACCTCTGTAGTGTAGTGGTTAGAGCGTACGCCCGGAGAGCGGAGTGTTGCGAATTCGATCCCCGGCCGCGTCATACCAAAAGACGTTAAAATATGGTATTTGTTGGTCCCTGCCTGACGCTCGGCATATATGGGTAAAACAAGGACTGGTCATAGTCAGTATATATGTCTGAGTGGGTTATTCATGCTTAACTGCGACATGGTATCTCAGTGGGCTAGCACTATAAATCCAGCAGCCACACGTACACACGCATGCACGTCGTCATATGAACAAAATAATCTAAAGTGCGACGTTAAACCCCATTTCATCTCACCACACCAATCAACAAAATTACATGGTGAGATGTCTGGAAATCGCGAACAGAGATGTATACATCCCTTGTGACACTTACAACAACGACTATCTGCCAGAGATATACAAATCAGGTCGCTATCTTTTCAATGGCATATGACCTGTCCTGATTGCGATGTGCGTGGTATATATAAGACAGGTAGTCGGGCACACGTCGGACACATCAAGCTCTCCAACATGACGTGGTTGTCAGCAGTTTTGGTATGCTGTGTGGTTGCTGTGTATTGTAGTGAAGCGAAAGTGTACGAAATTTCTGATTCATTAGGTCTCGGTCGGAGGTTTGATGGAATCGGCGGGCTGAGCGGTGGAGGGGTAAGTTTCTGTCTTTGCTTGTTTGTTGTTTAACGCCGCACTCAGCAATAATCCAGCTATGTGGCGTCGGTCTGTAAATCATCGAGTCTGGACAAGACAATCAACATCATGAGCATCCAATTCATCCTCGATAATCTCCAGGGTATACGTTACGATCACTCTCCACTATACCCTGGATTCATCCACGGCTTGGCCCGACGATTTTATTACCTCCCTTGGCTGGCTTTTTATCCAATCAGGTGTCTACACTGGGAAGTTGAGCGAACCAATCACAACTCACTTTCGCTTCTTAAATTATCTAACCGTTTAAACTTGGCAACACAATTGATGCAGAGGTACTCTATATGTTTTGAAAGTTTCAGATCTGTCAATTTGGCTGAATTATTTCCTAAAAAATCTGAGTGGCACTGCGAACAAACCTACGCGACTGCGACAGCTATCTTTTGTTGACACTGGCAAGCGCGGATGTAACGGTGGCTTAGCTGATTGGCTACTGTGAGAATGCGGACCCGGCAAAGGGAGGCATTATAATCATCGGGCCAAGCCGTGGATGCATCCAGGGTATAGTGAAGAGTGATCGTAACGGATACCCTGGAGATTTTCGAGCATGCATCCAACTAGGCAGTTGGAATACGATGACATGTGTCAACCAAGTCAGTGAACCTGACCACCCGATCTCGTTATGAATCGGGGCGGTGGGGTAGCCTAGTGGTTAAAGCGTTGGCTCGTCACGCCGAAGACTCGGGTTCGATTCCCCACATTGGCACAATGTGTTAAACCCATTTCTGGTGTCCCCCGCCGTGATGTTGCTGGAATATTGCTAAAAGCGGTGTAAAACTAAACTCAGTCAGTCAGTCAGTCGTTATGAATCACTATCAAATAGTAAAGATACCAGGTGAGCGTATCCTGCCCCACCGATGGCACCCGTCATAAAGGAAAAGGAAGTCCTTCACCTAAAAAACAGCAAAATGGGAACGTACATGACAAAAAAGGGAATTGCAACAAACATATTTTTGCCATTGATGTGTCAATTGTTTAAATGTCCTCCATGACTCCAAGTATATTCTTTCGAGTGATTTTCGTACCTTCCAACTTCAGGCTACGTCAAAGCTCCTGGCCAACTACCCGGATGAACAACGGAACCAGATTCTCGACTTCCTCTTTAAGGTGAGTCACAAGTCAAGATATTGTTTCAATACCCAGACTTGAGTGTTGAACTTGAAGCCTAAAACTTTTGTCGGTGATTAAAACTCCAACCAGACAGACAAATAATCGCGTATTGGTATGTTTGGTCCACAGGACCTTTAATAAGTAGCGTCTAGGCTATTAACAGTTAAATAACTATGTCGAAGTCAAAATAATACATCTCAAGATGCTGACAATGGAAAAGTGCCTAGTTAGAAATAGACAGTAGATAGAAATAAAACATATAAACATACCTGCGCCAAATAATCCAAAAGTCTGGCTTTTAGAAAAAACAAACAACAAACCCAACAACTTAACACTCTCCTTTGCAAGATGTAATTTCATTTATCTCATGGTACAGTGATTTGTTGTCTAATGCAGAGGCCTTTAGCGCTGTCAGTTAAATAGTACAAGAGGCCTAGTGTATTACTGGCAATGTCAGTCAAATGGTTTAAAAGGAAATAACTTACTTGTTGCAGCCCAACTTTGGAGCCAGTCTGCAGATTCTGAAGGTCGAGATTGGCGGAGATGCACAGAGCACTGGTATAACTCACACTTATATCCGCCAGGGCAGATTCAAGGGCACACTGAGTTTTTATCCGGTCTATATAGAAATGACAGAAATTGTTTACAAACTTTGATGATCCTTAAGCTGTAATTGATAATGTTAGAGGATAGATACTAAAACGTAATGCATAACTACCTCCTTGTGAACCGATATCTGTCCTTGCCTACATTAAACTATCAGAGTAAGTAAGTGAGTATGGTTTTACGCCGCTGATAGCAATATTCCAGCAATATCAGGGCAAGGGACACAAGAAATGGGCTTCACACATTGTATCCATGTGCTACGAGAACAAACTGATGCGTGACGGAGCTGGTGACAATGATGAGTATGTTTTGAATCCAGATGGATCCGAGGCGTCCCACATGCACAACAGCTGGGAGGAGAACTACCACAGAGGATATGAATGGTGGCTTATGGGAGAAGCAAAGAAGGTACCACTTATTACACAGTAGAGAACCTACTGGAGCATATGAAGTCACGCTGAAAGTTGCTTCTATGGCCTTAAAATTATTATAGTACAGAACTATACCATGGTGCATGTCAAGGATTGTGTTGATCACTGCATCTTTGAAACGATTCTGTTCAAAGTTCAACTTTACCTATATTTCAGCGGAACCCGGACATCAAGCTGTATGGTCTGCCGTGGGGATTCCCCGGCTGGATAGCAACCACCCCGCAGGACCCGTATGTAATACCACAACAGACAGCAACGTACATCCTGAAGTGGATCCAAGGTGCCAAGACGTACCACAACCTTACCATAGACTTTGTTGGCATCTGGAACGAAAAAGCGTACAATGACACGTACATCAAAGTAAGTGGAATCATAGGAGTGATGTTGTGTGAGACTGGTACTCCCCCAAAAACAAACAAATAGCCCATCAGGAAAGCAACTCAAACATGGCTCCCCATCCAAGGCTACTAAACTAGTCTTCAGAGCTATAATTACTTGGAATTTCACATGACTAGTGACCCTTGAAGATCCGGGTTAGAACTGATCTTCAGCAACCCATGCTTGTTGCAAGAGGCGACTAACGGGATCGGGTGGTCAGTCTCGCTGACTTGGTTGACACATTTCATCGTATCCAAATTGCGCAGATCGATGTTCATACTGTTGATACCTTGATTGTCTGGTCCAGGTTCGATTATTTACAGACCGCCGCCATATAGCTGGCATATTGCTGAGTGAGGCGTAAAACTAAGATCACTCATCACTCACACCACCAATAAAAATTATAACCCATTAGTGACATGACATTGAAGGAGTCTGTGCCGGGAATATATATTGTTACCATCACACAAGAATTATGATTCTCTCTGTATATGGCATTCATCCTGGAATTCACATAAGTGATGCTGCTGATTATTATAATTACTATAATAAGTCAACGTATGCCTGGTATTTGGGGAACAGAGAACCTACTGTATTCCCATATGTTGGCTCCTAGCTTGTAAGTATGTGTCCTGTCTTGAAGACGCTGAGGAAGACATTGGACAGCAACAACCTGAGCAACGTCAGAATAGTAGCAGCCGACGACAACGGTTGGGCCATCGCCGAGGACATCTTAAAGGACCAGGATCTGGCTGATTCGATAGATTACATAGGGTTGGTTTGTCCTCATGCATCTATTGTCTGCATCAAAATATTTTCAATACCTTCCCCGAAGCCTGGTCAAAGTCTTGTCAAACTAATGATTATAATCATGACGAATATTGGACTTAGCAATAAATGTAAGAAACCTGTATCATCTCGGAGCTTTCCTCCCACATAAAGGGGACACGCCATGATATAACTAGCCAACTCAACTCACTCACTCACTCTATATAAGGGCGACAACCTCCTTACAAATTACCCTACATATCAAACACCTGAGAAACAAAGGTGTCTCTCACTGACTGTTAGTTTGGTCTCGTCAGGTCTCACTACCCGGGTACTCTGTCTACATTGGATGCTCTAAAGACAAATAAAATGTTGTGGTCATCTGAAGACTACAGCACCTTCAACAACGACACCGGCGCCGGCTGCTGGGCCAGGGTACGTTTAAGATTGGGGTTGTACAGTGGAATGAGATGAGGTGATGAAACTGCTCGACAGCACACAGATGGGAAGAGGGTCTGGCCAGCTTGATAGGGTTGGGGACTACTGAATTTTGTAAACCACGACTGATACCTTGCCCTAGAACTGTATTGGTTCTATAATATTCAATGTGTTGTTCAATTCGGAGTTCTTAGAAATCACTTCATATTGAACATAGATCTCTTCCGCGAAGATGCTTATCACCGAGAGCAGAGCATCATTTCAATGACGTCAGCAGGACTGCTTTGCCAAGGGTGTTGCAAAAACTGGCCCACATCCATTGAGGAATTTGTCTGTTGCGAACTTATGCTCTATATCTCCACTGCTCGCATTTGGTAAACCTCAACTAACCTTTAGATCAGATACCATATACCGGTATATCGACTCTGCTTTTATCAATTCCCGCGTTTCTCGGTATCTGTATTTACCCTCCATTAATTTTCATGACAATTTTACCAACCAATGAAACTTTGCGATAACGGAAAATGAAATGGTTGAAGGGTAGACTTGAAAACATCCTTTCCATCGGAAAGAATATGGAGGACTCTCATTTGCCCGTCAGTCAAAGGCACTATATTGTTATTACCGCCTTGAGGCTGGTTTGTAACTGGCATTCTGATTGGTTCGTTCGACTAATGAAAATCAAGGGCGGGTAATTTGAGATTGGGAAACAACGGGAATAGGTTCAGGGGTTAGGAGTAGGTTTAACGAAATGCGAACAGTAGAAA